GAGAAATAGGTGAAAAAGGTCAGATATATCTGCTATGTAAGAGTCTAGACTCCGTCCTCTCCATTCCGACCACGTCTGGACCTCGATCTATTCTACAGCTTATTCATCTATTAAGTTGTTGCGACTCAACGGCCAGTCCGGCAGCTACCTATGGTGCATTAGCGTAAATATTATCATAATGCTTCTTCAAAACTGAACGCCGGTTTCATTTATACAAGTCCAATAGTCAAAAAAGGCAGCGCTTGCTGGCAGTAACTCTCCGGAACTGGCCGCATACGAAGCCTCGGCTCCGACAATGAGGACTGACCTGCGGTTCCGAGCCACATCATGCGGCAGGAATAGGTATAAATATCCTCTTATGTAGCAACTTTGTATTTCTGACACGAGGATGCTTACAGGTTATTGCAGTTAAGCCAAGCCAAGCCTGACAGCATTGTGTGTTACCTACCTTGAAATAGTGCCACGCATTATGTTCCCCGAACCGGCCGCATTCCGAATTCGGGTCATTAACCGAGGAGTGACTCGTAAGTCTCTATTCGTCATATTAAGGCATCATCATACTGAACATAAATCGACGAGAAACTACGGGACCTGACTTGTTAACATAATGGTATAAGTAGATTATAATGAAACTTGTATGCGGTGACGGGATATGTGTAGATATAGAGACCATTACCCTCCAGCCAGGGTTTCCGTAATTTCATAATAGCTAGGTACCTACATCCGTCAAGCTGACAAGACCGGTCACTCTGGATTTTGGTATTGTCCTTCTATCATTTTTTCATCAAATTTAAGGTCTGGTGAGATTGACATTCTGATATCCTTTTATGACATTTTCAGCTACTCCCGGCCTTCAGCTCCTAACCTTGTTCGGAAAAAGAATGCAGGTCAAAGCCTACTTTTCTATCATCCCGCAGTACATAGGCTAATAATAACCGGACTTATAGTCACACAAGCGGGAATTGCGTACATGGTACCATAACATTTAGGGGAAGAGGGAAACCTGACCGCCCTGTTCGAGTTTCCCATCTGAATAAGCGGGAATATGCATTCTTTGGCTCTCTGCTAAATTCACTAATACCGAGGACAGAATAAGCGTCGTGTATCCGTGTATCCATCCACGGCTCTGGGTCAATTTGGCTGGCACACCGCATGAGCCACAGACTTATCCTGGACAAATATTTGAGCCTCATTGTAGACGATTCGCCCATCCGCCAGAACGGTTTGGCTGCTTATGGCTTCGGTAAGCTTCCGAGGGGTTCAAGATCTAAAGTCTCCACCTCAAATCGATGCGAACCGACGAACCGACCCCCACAGACACCCGTGAAGATGGGGTGGAAAGCTTCCTATTTCGGCAGCAACGTGGATAATAATTCGATTAATACATATGCGAGAACTATGTAATCTGATGGTCTGGTCTATTAGAACGGTTTATCTATCAGTCCCTACCTGGCGACCTAACTTTACCTGGGGTACGATAGATACTCTTTGGTGGGGGCGGAATATCTCAACCTTTCCACCATATTCATCTCGTCTATATATTTATCTACACTACACTCGACTGCTAGGTATCTAACAAAATCTACGCGTGCGAGACGATTTTAAATCACATCTTAGATAAATACCATAAAAATACCAAGTTAGGGATATCAACTAACCCCTCATTGTTTCGGATATAAGGCTTACAATAGTCATCTCTCCACGTCATACATCCACTATACAGCATCAGATTAGTCGCCGTGATGGGCCAACCAATAGTAGCATATTATCACTGAATCTTTGTTGTGCATATTGATCATCAATCTCATACCAAACTCCCGTATAGCTATTCGTCCTTTCTAGATACATCGCGTTCCCATTTGTATATATAGATGGACGTCAATTTCAGGGATTGTCGTATTCGCAAACCCCTGACCTGCTGGCTGTATACCATGAGCACGAAGTATAACCCCAACAAGGCATATATAGAGGGTATTAATAGATTGTCGATGAATCACGATATGTGACGTAAATCTGGCTTGATGTTTTTAAATCGGTATGCTGTACCTCCTATGTAAGCATATATTGACTTCGATGATGCTTAAACTGATACATGGCCTCTTAATCTAAACCACTTATAATATATGTCTAATATATACGTTGTATCTTTAGTAAACTTATAATGTGCTTTAGTCACGAGGACTAAGAGTGACCCAAATTACTCCTGTCTTTGCTGTACGAATCTTATGGAGAATCCTGAGTCTCGGTACTCGGTACAGGGAGGCAGTAAATGATCCATAGTATCATCAACAAGGCAATATATATAAGTATAACTTAGCTACCTACTTAATACAATCGTCATATATTCCGCTGATCTAACGTTAGTTACCAATGATCGTCTCATTGCAACACAGATATCATGTAACAAAGCTCCTCATAAACATAAACGGATACCAAACTTCGTACACTTACTTGGCTAACTAGCGGACATGATATATAATTAATGTAAGGCTTACGTATCAAAATGGGTTGTCGTTAACTGCTATGGCTCATGATGTGGCGTATGGAGCGCGCCACTTGATGTTGCCGTGTCCCTTTTCTTTTAGCTAGCCGTCAGCTAAAGATAGCTCTCTAAGCTCGCTTCATATTGCCTAGATACTTTCCCACAACTAGAAGCTACGGCGAGATATTATTTATCTATCATTATAGTATATTGAACCTTTCTCCGGTATCTGGAGCCATTTGATTATCTTGGGTATATTTAATACCACCAACTTCTGATGCTCACGCCTTACGGCGATAGGATAAAGTCACTGTGTAATAGAGTAGCTCGTCTATGACCTCTAACACTGACTTTTGGAGTAAAATGTCATGTCCCAAAGTAAGACCATGTGTCATCATTTTGACCGCTTCCGCTGGACCTAGAGAGTAATATCGCACTGTTGTCCACCGAGTGAAGAGTAACAACACTGGGCCCTGCAGTAATTCAAAAAAAGAAGTCCTCGTGACAAGCGCTTATGCTCCGCTTACCCCCTTAAATCACCTCCTGAGTGTTTCGTGGCGGCCTTGCCCAGACATCCTTAACGTTGGTACCAGAAGAGCGAATACGATATGCCAGTAATGGAGATCACAAGACCCAACTACGGCCACCTTAAAGGTTCCTTTAGCTACCTAATGAATCATAGGTAGACGATCACCAATGCCCAGAAGTGAACGCTTAATGTCACTAGATGCAGGTCGGTATCCTTCGTATTAACGAGTCTGCAAGAGCGCCACTGGAGACATTTAGGTCGAAAATGAGTGTCTCGGATTGCGAATCAGGTAGGACATCTAACTAGGAAGATACTAGATTCACGGCTACCATCCCGATCTACCCATAGTTTAAGCACAACGTCAAAGGCGCCAAAAGACGCGACAGAAGGCCGATCATAAAAGAGGCCTAGCTAATAACGGAAAGCCGAGGCGACTCGTCTCTCAAGCACTATATTGATGGATGGCCAGTTTCATCCGGGGACTTCGGAACTCGGGAACCTCCAGTTGTTTAACTTCAACAGAGGTACTTGCAGATAGATTAGGTATTTACTAATCAACTCTCGAGCATATGGACTCTCGTCGGGTCGTTTACACCGGAGTCTGCCCCTAGCAAGTTTATTCCTGTTCTAAGCATCAGTACCACCAAAACTATTAATACTTCCGTGCCTAGAATGTACACGGAATATTTGATTTTTAATTACGTTTCTGAGGCTAGTTCAAGTAATAACTGACCTCTATCAACACGGATAATGTGAGTTGGACTATGGGCATATCTCAATCTCCAGCTATCAATATCATTTTCGTCAGGCTACATGTAATCGGATATCTTTTCCGCTCAGACCAAATATTGAGGTTCGTCGAACGGGGAAGAAAGGCTATGCACGAAATCAATTTATGACCTCGCCAGGGATGACGATCAGCAGGTATGCAGGTGGCAGAGGCCAATCGGAGTACGCTGGATTGGCATACGCCGGCACACTACTTACTAGTTTCAGGAAGTACTCAACTCCGTATTTACGAAAGTTGGAATGGATGCATATCTGCCTTGCGCTGCGTAATCTTGTTTCACTAAGATCCTGTATCTTTGGCAGCCAATGTATTGGAACCCTCAATGAGGTTCCCAAAGGAACACGGTCAAAACGTTAGTGTTCTGTAGTGATACGTAGTAAAAGAATGTAGGTCTCCCTCTTAGAGACGTCTATTGGTGTGATAAATATGAAGTTGATCTTTCGGTGTTCTATTGGACGCAATACTAATAACACACAGTAAAGATCTAAGGCTCCCGCGTCAGTCGTCTCGAGTGGGCAGAGGTAATTGGCTTTTGTTCTAGTTGAATGTCTGTAAGCAAAGTCTACGCGGTATACATGGAGGCTTAAAACTTGAAGTTCATGTACCCGAATATAGAGCATCCTATACTAGATTCAAAAATTGGTATAATAGTGTTTGAAAAGGTAATCTTGGCAGCGGTTCCCGGCGAAATTTCTTAGCAACACTTCGTGAATATAGCCTAGAGGTGGAAAATCTACTAGGGCATCTCTTATAACCACCCGAACTCCCCAGTTTCCCCGTTCTATTTAACCAAATCGGTATGGTTCCGTATATGTATACGTTTTGGATGTCTTTAGCAAGTTGGAGAAGCGGAGACATCTCACCTGTGTTCAAAACAGGAAGTCAAACCTTTTTAAGCAATGTTCCCTGTATACTATGGGTCTGATGGTAGGATCGAATGAATTATATGCGCTCCAATGGAATGGCCACCACCCCTCTTGATAGTATCATTAGCAATGGAAATGCGATGCACTCAAGGGGAAGAAGTATGGTTAGATACGCAATATAGGGGACGACTTAAATAAATAGAGTTATATAAGAATGCTAAGCTCTTCCAAAATGACGAGTAGGTATAGATTTTATCAAGTCGGCTAATCTAAGCCTTGATGCAAATCATATACTACCCAGTTGAAAAGGCCCGAGATTTATAGTAGATCATCATGTTCTTCGCCAGAGGAAGACTCATCACGGCCCTGCTCGGCGTTGTATCTTGTCTCTTGATCAGCCCGGCCACAGCTTTTACCAACCCGATCCGCCGGCCTGGAGGCAGTGATCCTCAAATCTCATATTCAGGTGGATACTACTACTTCTTGTCTACGTCGTGGACGAACGTGCAGATCTCGCGGGCTACGACAATTGATGGTCTCAAGACAGCCACGCCGAAGGTCATCTACAGCTCGACCGGTACGTATGAAAACATCCCGTGTTGTTATTTTCGAACCTCCTTTATATAATGGTTTCGAAATACGGTGGCTAACGCTCAGTAGTAAGTGTGATAACTTTATCATTTCGACTCACTCGAACACGGTAGAGATTCTGGAATTGTAGGATTGCAATGCTGATATGAAATCTTTTCATACATTAGGAAGCGAGCCGCTGCTGTAACGTCTGGGCGCCTGAGACTCACTATCTCAACGGAGTGTGGTATGTTTATTTCACGGCGGGCAATGAGGAAAACCTCGACGGACAGAACCTGCACGTTCTAAAGGGTGAGCATCTCTTCTATTACTCCGCGTTTCTCTTAAACCTCGGGCATGCCAAACGCATTGAAGGGAAATATGATAAGGTGACTTCTCGTTTTGAAACTCTAAGTCTCCTATACGCCGATGAAATGATATGTGTTACCACTAACTCCTCAGCAGGCGGTCCTACACCATGGGATGATTTCACTTACGCCGGGAAGCTCACTAATGAATGGTCTATTGATGGAACCGTTGTACGATTCAATGAATGGGGTAACTACCTGGCTTCCTCGTGCTTCCACGGAGTACAATACCAGTCACTATGTATGCAGAAGTTAGGGGATGATAATGTGTCACTAAAGGGCAGCATCTCGGTCATCTCGCAACCGACTGAGTCGTGGGAACGCAGCGGAACACCTGTAAACGAGGGCCCCGCTGCCCTGTACATCCAAGAAACGGGGAAGACATATATTGTATACTCAGCCAACTATTGCTGGACGCCCGACTACTGCCTCGCGACACTCGAGTGGGACGGCAAAACAGATCCGGCCTCTGCTGCTGCTTGGAAAAAGTCCTCCGGCTGCGTTTTCAAAGGCGGTGTCAATGGCCACTACGGCACCGGTCACAATAGCTTCTTCCGCAGCCCCGACGGATCGCAAACTTGGAACGTTTACCATGCCACCTCTAATAGCAACGGAGCTTGCGATGATAGCCGTTACACCATGGTTCAAGTCCTGGGCAGCGATTCAGACGGATCGCCGAACTTCGGTACGCCCGTTGCTCTCAACTATAATTCTGCCGAGCCTCGTTAGTCATTGACGGCTATTATATGACATGGCATTCAGCAGGTACGCTCCGTTTCTGCTACAGGATGAGTCTTTGTTGTTTAACGGTGGTGGTCTGGTAAGGCATCTATTTTAGAATAGTAAGGGCTGAGAGGGTCTATACTGAGACATAGTTGACGAATCTAATTCCTCGTATGTATACCTAGGTAACCTAGGTACTTATGGTCTCTGGTGAGCAGACTGCGGGACGTTTCGTGAAACAAGAAATCTATTTCCTCGTCTTAATTTTCTTCTGATGACACAAGTGACTTTTAAGAACCTAACTGGACAAACAGAAGGCCTGAGGCCAAGAAGTCTTCATTTACTAGCTAAGTATGATGCATATTTCGATATGAGAATGAAGCTTAATGATAAATCATATATTAGCATTGAGGCAAGTATAGAAGACAAAATCATAGGTGCTTTGGAGCCAAATCATATCGTTTAACCGCTTACGAACCACATCAAATCTATTATATACGTATAAGCTAATATCGCCATGGCCTAGGCTACCTATCAACCTACTAGAAGTATGATGCAATACTTAGTAAGTTTGCAACGAAACTTGTCATATGAGGGCCTATTCTATAGCCAAAATTAACTCTCAAAATAAGTAGGTAATCTTATTATATTAGACTTAAACACCATTTCCGGGACTGACAAAATGCCACGTAGATATTATGAGTATTTCCAGAAGACATGTATAATTAGGTAGCCAAAAAAAACTACTAACTAGTAGTCAGTAGATAGAAACAAACGCAAGGGATTAGTCTTTCGTGAGTACTTAAGGGTTACCGTAACACTGCCTAATATATTAAGTCAAACACTTTGAACGAGGAAATTAGACAGCATTTCGTATCATCCAAGATATCAAATCTCGTTGAACATATACAGGTACCTACAGTAATAGGCAACTGTCATGGGGACGGGCCCAGTATTATCCATCAACTCCTCTCAAGACCATTCCTAAAATAGCATATTTCGAGTCCTTTAACGTCTCGATTTGTTGATATAAGTGGAGTACTTACCGTAGTACGCTTACGCACGACGACACAATATAGGGTTAGAAGGCCTCCTTAATACACTTTAAATACAGATAAATATTCAATATTTATCCTAGAGAGGTATCAGCCTAGATGAATATAAATATTCTAGCTATAGCTTTTATAACTCGAGCCCATCTTAGGATGCTATGAAACTGTGAGGATACGAACAATGAGTAAGACCACGACTCTATTATAACACGAAGAGCTATAACCCTAACGAGATAGCTAAGACCAGGCCTTCAATATAACTAGAAGTCCTCTGTCTTAGATATATTGATAGTCTAGAGGTTTCATAGGCTGGCAGAATAGACATTTGGAGAAACATTCTCATAGAATAGGACTAGGCCTGGCCCTATGGGTAGAATAGACGAAAACTAAGTCAAACTTCAATATGAGTGCTACTAGTAGTATAACGAGTAGGTGACTTGCTCTAGAATCCGGGCAAACCAAGCCCAAGATAGACTCCGGCTTTCCTATAGGGATCCATTGTCTTTTCAGATTTAACTTAAGCCTTATCAACGAACACAGTAGTTAGTGTATCTTCTAGTGTATTAGTTAGAGGCATGGAAACAGTAAGATTTGAAAGCCATTATTAAACAGTAGTACTATAGTCGAAGACTCTTCCCAATAGACTTGGAGAGACACATGTCGCTTACAATTTTTATTCGTGTTTACGGTGTCTATCCTTGAGAGCCTTACACGAAGTACATTGGTACATGTTCGGTGTGATCAATGTTACCTAGTTGCAGAAGAGACGGACCTATGGGAAGTAGATACCACGAAAATACTACATGGCCAAGAAATTCCGATATGTTGTGATTGGTGTGACGAAAGAGGGGGCGCGACCTGGATAACGAGCTGAGCCGCGATCTAAACCCCCTATTGAGCGCCACCTACGTTTAGATTTACAGATACTTAGTGGATATCACCCCCTCATCTAGTATTGAAGATGTTCCGGTGCATGAACAAGATCCCCAAAGACACCCAGTTATTAGATCTTTCTAAGACACTAGGGACTAAGATTAGAAGTGCTAGCTATTGGCCTACATATCGCTTCCGTTTCCAGTCCCCCCGAGCAGTTTGATAGTATACGGAGCCGATAGTATCGGATCAAGATGGCAAGGCTCTGCTATTGCTGAGGGCGCAGCACTGGTATAACAACTGCCCCCACTGCCAATCTATCACCGTACGAACCCAAATACTACCTACGTGCTTCCATCTGTACCATACAATCGCTACCTGAAAATCCGAATGTAGGTCAAATGCTTACAGTTTACCTATATATAGCAAATTCTCAGTATCATAGCCCCAAGCCCCCAAAGTCCTAACTAGTTTTGATCGCGTGGGCAATGGAATTCTAGTAGTATATATCTTGTTCCATATTCCCACACTTAGCATTGTTGGTTTTAAGTTTTACGGCTCTCTCATCTTGGCCTTTATAAGACATACCTTTCCAATGGTTGTTTTCCGCTTCTTTTCCCGTCCCGTAGAATTGAATCCTTGCTGACATCCACAGCTAGGCTATTCGTCATCAACACCACGGGGTAGACACGGATCCCGACAAGGCAAATGGTTTGCAAGGACGCCTTTCATTTCAATCCCAAGCTTCTGACCGAAATTATCCAATTGGCTCCTGTCACGTTATACACCTTAGGTATTGACTTTGTTGAAGGGTATTGCATGATCCCTACGAATCTAGCCTTGTCCTTGTTCACCGGGGGTACCGTCGCCAGAAATGGGTCGCAATGAAGGTAGGCAACCACCGTCAGTCCTTCACCCACACCCCTTCAAGAGAAGTGGCTGCCTTTAATCCGCTTTGCTCGTTCGTCACAATCGCTGCTGCGATTAATGCATGTTGACATTCCACTCAACTTCTGGGTTGAGTGTTACTAAAGGGACGAGGAAGACGTGGCATAAGCGATGATGCGGCAACAGTTCCCTGAAGCCAGTTTCCGAGCTTTCGATCCTCAATAATAGGGCAACTAGTGTGTATAAGGGAAATGGGAGAAGGGAATATGCATGCACGTCCGTTGATGTGCCAAACCCCGCTGGTTCGCCTACACCTATGTGGACATCCCGACTACCAGGTCCCTTCCGTATCCACTGATGTCCCTTCAAGAGAAAGGAGGGGTGGTGAATTGGTCGAAATGGAGCCGCTCGCTCGCGTACTTGTATAAAATACTTGGTAACAGGGCCATGGTTATATTAGTCGGAGGCCCTTCTTGGATGAAGTAGAGCGAGCGCACTATTCCTTTTGGTACGGACAATAATAACGATCATTGGAATTGCCTGCCAACATGAATTCATCCCACCACACTTACTCTAACGATATCCACGAAATGCCCGTATCAATGGGCAGTGATTTTGCTAGTATCATGTCGGCACCGGGGGTCTATAAGCACCATGAAGCATATAGCGACGAGCGGTCGCCTACTCTCTTGGAGGAACCGTCCAGTCCTAAAAGCATAAACAGACCTTGCTTGTCAGTACTATCTAGTCCTGTGGAGTTATAAACCTAACCTGTTCTCTTAGACTGCAAAAGGGCGTAATAGAAAAATGCTATAAGAGTCGTTTTTATAGCAGGGCTGTCGAGTTCTATCTCCTCGAAAACGACCCCACGTCGTTTAAAAATTGCCGCTGTCTCATGGAAAATTGCCCGCAACGCAGTTTCACCGACGCCAGATATATGTTACTGCACCTAAAGGATTGTAAATACTTCTCGCAAGGGATTTATCGATGTCCAACAGTATGTTACAGTGTGGGTTCATGTTGCCCCCCCTTTTTTCGTACATTTCCTGTCTCCGGGTATTTCGTTCAAGTTAATTAAATGAGTCGATCCTCGCGAAATATAACCAAACACCCTTGATGTCAGAGAGAATAAAGTGCTAACTGTTATCACACAAGTGCAACGACGCCGAAAAATTCCAAACAACCTCCAACAAGAAGTGCTCGTGGGATCGGCCAAACATGAGACAAAGACTCCAAAATACATTCAAGGCTACGGTAGATACAGTCAAGGGTATCGTCAGTCCTCGGTCAATCTCGAGGATTCCCTTTAGACATTGTAAAGAATGTGGTCAGACAGTAGCGCATAAAGAAGATCCGTCCCAATGGCCCGGAGTAGGTGGCAGTCGATGCTCGACTAGTCCCATTTTCGACCCTGACGAAATCCGGATACCACTAGAGATGAATGATACGCAAGTAAGAGGAGAACTCATGGCGGATACACCACTGGTTGAACTACAAGCAGCATCTTTACCTTTGGACCATAGGGATGCGGCGTTAGATCATTTTAATCACGGCGAGGTTTCTGATTACTCCTGCATTGTTTCGAACTGTTCTTCTTCTTCTCCCAATCCGCTCATTGAGCTATCTTCTGTTAGCCCATCTATGACCCGTTCTGCCGATGTGTCGCCAACAACCTCTGCTGAGTCTTCATTGTCAGCTTCCAGAAATGACTCCGAACATCAATGTCTACCAGCAGATAGTCAGTTCATTGAATTTCGAGAGAGAGCTCTCAACACAGAAGCAATACCCAACACCGGTAATCATATGAACCAAGCCTACAATACCTGGCAGCCGTCCTCCTTAACACAATTATACAACGCTCCACCCAGCCATCTGTCCATGCCTCCGATACCTCGCGATCAAAGAGGATTTCGCGAATCACGAGGCTATTCCCTAACTATCCAGACAAATCATTTGGAACCCGCTCTGAACCCTCCACTTTGGGGGGGTGTAGTGTGTCACAATGCTAGCAATCCAGAAGCTATGAATATTGTAGATTCATCAGCCCTCGGGAATATGCCACCACCTATGTCCTCGACGGGTATTCCATCATTTTCGAACATTGACGTATCCACTGGCATTGGGAGAAGAGATGCCCTCCTCAATGTCACGCTCTCTGACAGTCTTTTCTCCCCAGACTCAGCAATTCCGTCTTCAAGCACCGAACAATCGCCAAGTTCGGCATTGTCAGACTTGTCAAATGAAAGCCATCAGTGTCCCCATTGCGACTATAGGCCTACGGGCAAGAAAGAAAATGCTAGAGCGTATCTCAATAAGCACATGTCTACCCACGGGAGCCCTAGTTACAAGTGCGAGTACTGCGAAAGAGTCTACAGTCGACCAGACAATCGAGGCGTCCATGTCCGTAAACATCACAGGTCCCAAGATGATTGTAGGAAAAGGCGCAAGGAATCTGATAGTTCCGAGTCAGAAGACCATAGGAGGAAGAGAGTTCTATATGACGAATCGGGCCAGGAATACTTTTAACAATGGGACGCTTTCTACCCTCTGTACTTAGGTAATTTGAGTTACAAGCCCGATTTACATGGGCAATATTAACGATTCATGAATGATGACTACCACTCAGTTTACATCACGAGAGCCGCTTTACAAGTAACAATTCCCCCCTTTCGTCTACTAGTCATATGGCTATTCGCGATCTGCTACGACGGTGTCCTCCCTAGATGCGTGATAGATAATCGCTACGAAGTTCCTTGAAACTATACTTTTGACCAGCTAATTGAAGTCTCAAGATGATAAGAGACGTTGTGACTATTGATTCGTTAGATTTTCACCTGCCAATACGAGGAATACGCCAACAAGGAGTTCGTCCTGAATCTCGTAATTCTACTAGATGCTTTGGTCACTAGATACTTCAATCACTAAATGCTTCAATCATTAGATACTTCAGTCACTACCTAGATGTTTTAGTCACTAAATGCTTTAATCACTAGATATTTCATTCACTAGATGCTTTAGTCACTAGATGCTTCAGTCACTAAACGCTCCAGTCACTAAACGCTTCAGTCACTAGATGTTTCAGTCACTAGATGTTTCAGTTACTAGATACTTCAGTCACTAGATTTTTCAGTTACTAGATTTTTCAGTTACTAGATATTTCAGTCACTAAATGCTTTAGTCACTAAATGCTTCAGTTACTGGATGTTTCAGTCACTAGATACATTCCACATTAGTATAGTTTCCCGTGATCTTAGGCTTCATTTTCCGTTAACGCTACCGAAATCTCGTCTTGTTGCCGATCTACCTTCCCGTCCGATGTATAGGTGCGGCAGGCTTCAATTCCACATTTTCAGGGGTGTTTCAGGCAAGCCAGTTACACCAAGACTTGAACACCGCTAACTGAACTACTTTAACCGAACTACGTTGACACAAACACGTCAGGTACTTGAGACTCTTATGAACTATTGCTTCACGGATGCGTCAGTACCCTTACTTACAGGCTGTCAGCAGGGAACAGATGCCGCATTAGGTGGCAAGGCAGAGAGCCCTTGAGGGAACGCCCGGAAGGGACACAACGCAATGCCTAGGTACCTAGGTAGATAGTCACTAGGTAGGTATTCACTAGGTAGATATTCACTAGATAGGTATTCACTAGGTAGATAGTCACTAGATAGATAGTCACTAGCTAGGTAGTCACTAGGTAGGCATCTATGGATTGTCGTCTCTTCTAAACCTAACCCGTGTGAACGTGGATATAAAAAGGGGAGGCATGCCCACCCTTTCCAGCGAGAAATTCCTCTGGCAGACCACATCAACAGGTCTTAACATTAAAGATATTAATCTAAGTATTAATTCTTAACCTAAGTCTTTCCTACAGCCAAAGACGCTTTTACCATAAATAATAAATAAAACTTACCTATAGTGGGTTTGGACCCCCGAACGACCGGCCATCATGGACAAAAACAGGTAAGTGCTATATTGAGATATAAGCGCTATAGTACAGTGGCTAATGAGCGTTCGCAGCACCAGCACATCTTCCAACACCACCTACCTAAGCTCTTGGTTGTGTGTACATTCGGCTGTTCTTTGCAAGTAGAGCAAGGCCACACTACCTTAAACCCCCATGTTACGTCGCAGAGAGGTAACCCATTGCGTTGGGACGTATACTTCAAGCCGTGTCTTGCGACCCAACAACCCCTAGCAATTTCGGTCTCGCGCAACGAGAGCAACCACAATAATAGTCAAACATGGCAGAGGTGGCAAGCCAACCCAGGACAGGCAGCTCCTCAATATGTTTTGAACCCTCATGGCGCAGGTACCTAAGCTCTTGGTTGTGTGTGCATTCGGCTGTTCTTTGCAAGTAGAGCAAGGCCGCAATACGATCAAGCTCTTGATTATGCGTACATTCGGCTGTTCTTTGCAAGTAGAGCAAGGCCGCAATACGATCAAGCTCTTGATTATGCAAACATCGAGGCGCTTTAATGCAGCAAACGCGTACTCTAGGTATGCTGACCTGAGCTCTTAGTTGTGTGTGCATTCGGCTGTTCTTTGCAAGCAGAGCAAGGCCGCAATACGATAGAGCTCGGCAGTCGTTAGGATCCGAGACCTCTCTGCCGGTGGTATACGGTTCGCATCAAGGGGGTCTAGATGCTGTTTAAGGGTTGTTATTCGGCTCTCGATTTCCATACGGTTCGCATCAAGGGGGTCTGGATGCTGTTCAAGGGCGGGGGTCAAATGAGATAATAACTCATGAGGGCCACCTATTCTGTGTAGTTCGGCCGACATTCGAAGAGGGCAAATAACTATTGTTCATCCCCGTGGCTGAGGAATAGAGAGATGCCGCGCTCGAGCCGGTTGTTCGCTGTTGCGAAGGCACGCCGCTACTTAGCCCGTACGAACCGGTACTGAGTCCCAAGCCGCCATGATTATTACCGGAATCTAAGGTCTGGAGTTCCAGGAAGCTCGAGTCGAAAGCTGGCGTAAAGGTTGAGGGCATCGTAGGATGGCGCGCGCCGAAATGGGGCGAGTGGTTTGAAACACCGTGACTTGTGGCACCTCCTGCACGATAGTTGCTATCGAGGGGCGACGCTGAGGGTGTTCGACGCGGTGTTATTCGGCTCTCGATTTCCATACGGTTCGCATCAAGGGGGTCTAGATGCGGCTGTCGTGGAGTTGTTTTGTCTCTGTGGGGAGTCAAAGCTCTTCTCCATCTATCTACCAACCCAGGCCTTCACGATATGTATACCAGTCCTCATGATTCAAGCAGAAGATCATCCATATTCACAACACCATCGGAATAGGTGCGCGAGCCCAGCAACTCCAACGATATATCAACAATGGCAAACAGGCTCTGCATCACCCAGTAATCCATCGGCTTATACCTTCCCACAGCAGCCCACCCAGATTTGTCGGCCTACCAAAAGCGAGCCATAATACACAACATGACGGGATGATTCGTTTGCTCCCCCAACCCACCTTCACCAATTATATTGCCTCACGAGCCAGGATCCATTCCGGGGTCAGCTGTAAAGACTGATCTTCTTCCGTCAATGGCTTTCGAAAACTAACATAACACTAATAATAAAATATTATTCAAGTTAAACAAGTGAAATTCGTTTACACATAGCTACTGCGTGAATATATTGGTGTGTAGCACCACAAGCAAGTACCCCACGTCATACGTAGAATACCTACATAGTAGTGGAATGTGAGATGGGATCTGATAAAGGTGGGCACGATCCCGATGCCCCCCACGCCAAGAGAGCAGAGTTTAGAAGACAGGTAGGTATACTTAACGTCAGCCGGTTAGGAGCATAGGTAGTAGGTATCTTTCCGCAGCGTTTGTCAGTCCACCTAGTACGTAGGTATTCACATAGCTTAAAGCCATCCGAAAGTAAGCGTTTACATAGTGATTCGATCATAAAATCATTCATTTTTATCCTATTCGTCATCCCAAAGCCGCCGACTAATAATGATCGGCCTTGCTTGATCCCAAGGACCATTAATGGCATTTTTATACTTCTGAAGCCCGATGAGCCACCAACTGCACCCGCCCATGGCAACGACGGCGATGATAGCTGCTACCAGAACACCAAGGAGCCCACTTCTCCACGGCCATACGACATCCTTTTCTTCACCTACTATTAGGCCGACTCCACCTCCCGCTCCGATCACAAGTAGTATGGAGAGCGTAACGTGATACTTCCAGCTCCGATGTCTAGCGTAGCGTCTAAAGACGGGAAACAATCCAAACACCTCAATACTGAATAATGTGAGGCTGAAAACCTGCCCGGTAGAAGGTAGGCGAGATGCTAGCACCGTAGACGCCATCAGTGCTGCGTTAGTTGATAGGGAGGCTGGGAATTTCACGGGGCCTGAAGAGTAATCATAGAAGAATATGTTGATCGCCAAGAGCCAGAAAGACATGGCCCAGATGCTGTCAGATGACGTAGACCGAGTAAGGGACTTCAAGATAGGCGATAGACCTAAAAGGGTGAAGTAAATAAGAATAGCAGATTTAACGGTACTAAGGCGAAGGTTGGCTCTCCCGCTTCGAAGAGGAGATGAGGGACGATGGCTCGGCATATCGATGGACTCGGAGGATCTCCGGCCTACATTACTTGCTTGCGACATGCTGGACTGGAGGGAAATGGCAGAAGTGGAATGAGATTGCCGCATAGCGATTGGATTCCCCTGGGGGTATCGCTCTATGACCGCTAAATTCGTCACCGAGCTCGCGGCGGACTGGCTAATCCCCCCTGCGGCAAGGGAACGACCTCTCCTACTAGGCTCCCGTATCGAGCGGCTGCGATTACTGCGGCGCCGCTGCAGTACTTCGTCCTCGTCTTCCTGGCCTACCCAGAAGTCCCATAACAACCACCCCACGAACGTCGCAAAGCTGCCCCAACCTACGACGGCGACGGGGGACACGCGCTCTTGAAATATTCCGACGAAGCAGACGACGAATATGATGACGGAGCATACTTGCTGCAGGATGACGGTCGAGTCGGCGACGAGGGGCCAGAATTCATAGGGCTGGAGACGCGGGTTCCGCTGCAGGTTTTCTAGAAACGTGGCCTGGTCCGTGTAGTTATCTGGGTCTGGAAATAGCTGTTAACAGCGGCCGCAATGGGTGTCGTCAACCGAAGGGCCAAAGGGCAATTCCATACAAGATTGTTTGACCCATAATAATTTCTTCCAAGTGCGTCTCCGTCGCCTACTCCTGCTCCTGCTTCCGAGCTTGGAACTCTTGGAACTCATCTTTCGTGACCGCGACTCGGGGCGGCTTTCGTTAACACCATTGGACTCGAAGCCCGATTGTCGTCGCGAGGGTCGTACTGCATTGAAAGCGTCCTCGGGAGCTAGACGGGATCGATCAGTCCGTTGCGAATGGAACTCGATAGGTAGAGTGGCGGCGCGTGTTAACCCAGGTGGAGGTGCATCTCGTTCGCGCCTTGGTACCTCTGTTGTAGCAGCCGAGTCTGGATGGGAAGGATGAGACATCTCTAACTATGTGCGCGGCCAATTGATGAAGCGATATCTAATCCCGAGGCTACGGAGCGGGCTGTTCTACAGCCTCGCGATAGTATACATTGCTGCGAAGGATGATGATGTATGACCACATAAATTGCATAGGTGTACGGAATACGTAACCAGGCTTATGGGAAGGATGGATAAGTGTTTGCGACCCCAGATAAGACTTATCTGATAAGTTGATTCTTGGTGGAATCTTGTGCACGGACCAGTGCCAGTGCGAAGTAGCTAAGTCTATAAATCAACCATAACTAAAAGATAATCACCCGCAATGCCGAGACCCGTTATAGGTCCCCCTTATAACTCGAGGTGCACCTTCCAATCTAGTCCTTAGCTCTCGGCTGTTTTAAAGGATGAGGGAACCGACACGGCTGCACGGCTATCGCACTTAAGCTACTATAAACTCTAATTACACGATACGAGACATCTAGCCCTTAAACCTGAGAGATATATCGCGTGGTACCAAAACATGCCCTGTATCAGTAAATAGCGGGTATCTCCGCGAAGAATACCACGCTTACATAAGCCTTAACCTAGTCTTTCTCACTGGTCTAACACGTCGTGTTCGGGGGATCATCTTTTTAGATTCGTTCGGGGCTCGATGCTAGAAGAGGATACTAGGACTACATAGGACCACATAGGACTATCAACCCGGTTTCCGATGTTTGTACAACGTGTTTTAAGCCTCCATTTAGGCATCCAAGTTTTTACTTGCGGTATTTTGCTTGCCTTTGCTGGTTTCTATAACCTGTCACATGTGTTGGAATACAATAAGATGAAGGATACACAAATGTCAACATGCAAGGCGCATGTGTGGCATCAAACAGAAAATCTCTGCTGTCCTACCTGTCGTGCTACTTACTTGCGTAGGTAGGTATATGAGAGCATTATCATATCGAAGCTTCATTCATTTGATCAGCTACCATAGTACAAAGAGTCGACATCTTTTTTACACTACAATGCAGCAATGCCGAGGGTCTAGACGTGGCTATAAATGGAATCCAGCCTCCACTCTATAGGTACGTAGATACTTAAATCGAACCTTATGTAAAGTCCCCGCCCGGCTCTTACCAGATTCGGTCGCCGCTCAAAGGTCATTGGTTCAGGGGGGTTAGCCTTAAAGCACATAAGGCGTGGGCCGGTGGACCTCTTCCTTGGGAAATAGGCTATCTGGCTATGCAGCTGCTGTGCCTCCGTAGCTGGATGTTAGGTAAATATTTACGGATCCGTATGTATGTTGAATGCATTGATCTGCTCTTCCTGATTTTCCGAATCCTATCATGATTTGCTACATAGTAAGCAAGGTCGATGAATGTACGGAATATCGGTAACTACGGATGCCTATGACGCGGGATATGTCTGTGTTTACGCGTGGTTGGGAAAGGTTTAGCGAGGCGCAGTCTTCCTCTGTCGTCATAACCAATTATCGATTTATCATCCTGGCGTTGATCGATGATCGTTGATCTCGAGAAGCAAAAGAATTCAAACGCAAAACATCTATTATAGAAGCTCCCCTGTTACAGCTATGGAAAATTATTACTAAAGGCGATTTGGTGCGACATGCTAACTGACCTGCCCATGCTCGCAGAACCCTGTACCGAAGACATGGGCTGATGGGACGTCGAGAGTAGTATGAGAAAGTTTCCTGCTCCGTCGGCGGAATGATACACTGGAAAGTGTGGGAGTGTGGATGAGCAGCTTTAACCGCATATTAATAAATTGATCTACCGTGCTAGTCGCTAAACCCCAACTCCTACACCTCTAATAGGCATGGATCTCTCTTTCATGCCACTAGCTGGTAACTGGTAACTGGTAACTGGCCCTGAGTCGCTCCAGAAAAAAAACCCATCCGGTGTTGTGTCACTTACATACAAAAGAAAGGTCAAACCTCCACTTCTCTTTTCTATTGAATTTACTTCCGAGTTGCCGGCGTGTGACCAAACCCGTCAAGTGTTTAATAAAACTTTGGATCGAAAGCGCGCATGGTCAATTCGTATATTCTCCCATCAATTCAAGTCACCCCACTACTAAGCAGATAAAACGACGTGCTACAAATCTCCTCATTCGAGCTCGGCGTTCCTTACATATTTGAAGCCATCTGCCGTCAACAACCTGGTCGCCAAGAAAAACCCCAAACCTACCTGTAGCTTCAGCTATCCACCCCTACAGAACCAGAACTCCGACGATTTCACCACTACTACCGCATCGACGGTGTTATCTTAGTAATTGCTTGGATGAAGAAGGTATATTATCCTTCAATACTGTTTCGTTCATGTTTTAGGTTGCCTTTTTTATTTTTTTGTTTTTCTTTTCTGGAATATTTAATCTTTCGCATTTCTCACCATTCACGATTGTTGACTTTTACGTGTAGATCGAAAGCTTCAACATATTCATTCATCTTAAGAGGAAAATCAACAACCCACCATGAAAGGATCTACACCTGCATTATTTGTCTGCGCCTTCGCAACCTGGGCTCTCGCAGCACCAGTAGCTACAGTTCAGAAGACCCCAAATATTGCCGAATCAAACCACACGCAGCAAACAACAAAACAGACAGATTTTCTATCGAGAACAGCCCTCTTCCTTTCCACCCTTACACCCTCGCGAATATCAATTGAGAAGCACAACAACGTCGTCGTCGCAGAAGATGGCCAACGCGTCCAATTGCCAGAAAATCTTGCCGGGGCAAAATCCTGGGAGACTCCCCACGTTCTCGCATTTCTTACATCATTAGCCCGCCCGAAGAAGCAATCGCCATTCCCCGAGTCAAGCATCATAAGAGAGGAGACTCGCGGAAACATGATGGATGCCGAGCCGCAGGAAACCATCGTGGAGCTTGAAACCAAAGCGGAGCGTGAGTCGTGGACGTATCTTCCCTATGTGTCGCAAGATAAAGTCTTGCGTTTCCGTTGCGTGCGTAAGGCCGCAGACACAATGATGATTGCGCTCCCCGTCGCCGCCACTGCCATGATCCTTATGGCTATCCTTTCTAGGGCGCTTCGACGCAGGTATAACTCGCACACATATAGGCCTTTCTTTACTTGCGTAACTAACTTTTCTAATAGGGTTTGCGTCCTCCGGACGTTGAAGACGTTGAAGAAGGGGGAAATCCATCTCGACGATAAAGAAATGGCATTCCCTAATCAATCTTCAAGACAAAAACACATGCCAGCTACATATACGTCAGTCTACTCCGACGACGGAGTCAAGTCGTAACACTGCCGATAATAAAAATCAAGAGATACGAGGGCCACGGGGTGTTACTTTTTATTTTATTTTATGATACCATAACCAGGTCTTGGCGTTTAGGAATCTGAGCTGGCATGCTCTAGGGTATTGAGACTTGTTTCATTAAGGAAACCGACTACGATGTTACTGCGACGATGCACTGTCGAATTGAGTCGCGTCAGGCGTGAATGATACGAACTGGCAAAGTTTGGGTATCAAGGAGTATTCGAAAAGCCTCGGTCATGCAGCAGACAGCATCCAGAGATGGTCATTCAAGCCGTCTTAAAGGATATGGACACTGTACAAATACCTACGAGAATAGCCAGATTTCGGTATAGATGAAGTAGATTCATCAATAGAGAAGAGAAGAGAAATGCACGCAATGAGCTTCGTCACACCATGAAATGGCAAGAGTCTAGAACCATTGACTATGCGTAACACCATGTCTTATTGTGCCTCCACCTACGATGCCGTTATTACTAAGTCTGCACGTCGTCAGTGAATCTCCAAATTAGTCCCGGTGACTCGAAAGGCCTGGGTTTCGACCGGATGGTAATACACGTAGTCAGAACTGTTTCATGGACCCGTTAAATGGCATGTATAAAGCTACAGAATAGGTAAGAAATAGGCCATCATGGCCCATCGACATGCGACTCATGCGACTCTATCTTGATTTTAAATACCGATTTTGTACGCATGCATAGTTCCTATGGAACTTGTTCTACATGACTGATGGATACTTCGCCATCTTCATCGTCGGAGCGGTTCGTGCGGATACCTGCACGCAAGCGTGAGGCTGCCCAATTGGCGTTTCCGACGATACTATAAGAAATGCCGGATATCATGATCTAGCAACGCCACCGGTGAGAGAGGCGCAGGCACCAAGGGCAGCGGTGTTGCATAGGAAGATTTTTGATTGGGGAGTTATTGGGGCGTTTGACGCATCCCCGAACGCATTAATGCAGCTGAAGCATGCATCGATCCACGACATATACCGTATGTACAATTACTACCTTTCTAACGATAAGTGGTTCAAGGTGAACATTTCTCCTCTGCTTCTGTGTTACTCGTCCACAACCTCAGGCTGCAAAGTTGACACGCGATCGCCGCGAACACTTTGCAACATTACAGAAGCTGAGGTCAGCTATACTACCTATATGTCTTATATGTACCTAGGTATATATATAGGTATATAATTCAGATCGCCACTCGATAGGTTACGGTTCGAAAGCCCACAGTGCTGATTGGATAAGCCAACCGAAGAGCTGAGACCGCCATTTCGACACCCTGGATCCTACTCACATATGTACAATACTTTTAGCATAGCATTGCTTTGCTGTAATGCTGTGATATAGCTTAGGTACCTACATACGCCCACATTAAACCTACATATACGCGAAGTTGGCTGCCCATAGTGATGCTACGATCGAGGATGAAGCGCATAATTATAAGGTAGCCAGCCATACGTATAATGATTCCGGTTAGGAATAATAACACACGAGACCATTTTATTGCGGGTTGTTGACAACTTCGCGGCTGCTTATTGGACTTTCGTTTTATACTACTACCATACCAGGTATGTAGGTACAATACATAACGCAGCAGCTTGGCCCCCAATATGGTAATATAGGATGGGTCTTGATGGACTTCGCAGCTTAGCGACAGCAGCTAGCCGTTGGAGGGTTGGAAGTTGTTGAGTCTAGGCTGGTTTAGGGTTGCACCTCAGCACCTATGCCCGTGTTTTTGAACTAGGTTACTGTATTGCGCTTGCACCACTCGCCTAGGAATCCCCTCCAGGTGGAAGCTTCTTATGGGATGAACGTTTTCTTCGTACTACAAGGTATCATGTAGCGAGTGCTAAGCCGCATATGTACGGTCGGAGTACTAACAACTTATGTTCTTTTTCGAGGCAGGTACCACGCCTTCTCTACGCAGAACAGACAAGACCAGACAAGCAAGGCACTCACGCACTCATGCACCTTGCACCTTGCACATTCCTTTTCTCACTAACTAGGGATATTAAACAATAGCTTTGTCTCAGCTTTGCATTCCTAAACTCTTCTCTCCTTCTTTCCCTGTCTTTTTTGTCATTCACAATACCTACGAGATCACAATAGACTTTTATCAAACCCAACCTAAAGTTGGACAAATAAATCCTAGGTTTCACTAAAACATAATAAATTCAATTTAGGCCAAGACCGACCTCGACCTCAACTTTGGGCCACTATTCGGTGACAAATACCCCGCAATCCCATAACAGCTGTTCAAGTCGCACGCGCCATCCATCTGCCATCTGCGTCTGTCCGACATGTCTTTAAATGTCGGCGACAGTGCACGGCGTGGCCGTACGCCCTCCCCAGCGCGCACTAACGAAGGTTATGACCGCCGTCGCGGCCGCGAAAGTTCCCCGTCTCTGCTTGACGCAGTGCGCATGCCCTCTCCACCTGCTGGGTACAGCTACGATGACGCCGCACCTCGCCGCTCGTACCGCCCGGCTTCACCTACAGACGAGTCCAGTTATTACCGCGCCAGCCGCGACTCTATCACCTCGGAAGATGACCGGCGCTATGGAAGACGCAGCGAAGAGCGCGTATCCAAGGGCGACAAGGATATAGTAGAAGCCGCCCAAGATGCACTGCGACGGCTACGCGAGTCAGACAGCGAAAAAGAGCGGAGAAAGGAGCGCAAGAAAGAAAAATTAGAAGAGGACTTAGCCTATGGTAGTGTCGTGTCTCCTCCGATTATTACCAAATACTCTGGCGGCCATTCTCCATCGCCTTCTGGCGGTGCCGGCTATTCTGGGCCCGGCCGATGGGAGGAGGACAGGGCGGGAGACAAGTTCAGATATCCCCGCGTAGACGCGGTGTATACGCCACCGGGCTCAGACAGGCCGGATAAACAACGCCAGCGTGATTCTTATGGATCAGACATTAGGCCTTCGAGCGCGAGAATTGTTGCTGCCGAACCCGGCTTGGGTAATCGTAGAGATCACTCATCCAAGCCACCTACTGGGCGGATGTCTACGTTGACTGTTAACACGGGGCACCACGCTGCCTCACTCTCTCTCTCAAGCGCGCCGCCATCGCCACTATTGGAGTCTTACTATGGCACCTACCAGTCCATGTCCCCGATGCCATCACCGCTGCTCCTTGCTTCGGATGACCCCAGAAGAAACTCGGACCTAATTGAACCCCTCTCGCCGAGTCTTTCTGATGAAGGCAACGAGAAGAAGCGGCGTCGCGCCCGTTTCCACGACCCTGTTGACGACGCGGCACGCCTAGCTAAAGCTCTCAGGGGCGATCACCTACCTCCCGATACAGAGCCACTAATTGAAATTTTACCTGGAATGACGCACGAGCAGATTATGGAGCTGCGTGTCGAGTACAAGCGGCTCGTCAAAACCGGTCCTGAACGCAAGGGTGTTAATGTTGCTAAGCATATCCGCGTTCGCCTAAAAGATGAGGAACCCGTCCTCATGAAGGCATGCTACACTGTCGCGCTCGGGAAATGGGAGTCAGAGGCGTACTGGGCCAATTTCTGGTATCACGGCGATAAGACGCGACGCGAGTTGTTGATTGAGAGTCTAATGGGGCGCTCTAACTACGAGATCGCAAAGATTAAAGAGGCTTTCTCGGATAAGAAATATAGAGATTCACTAACGCTGTGTATGAAAACCGAGCTAAAGGAGGACAAGTTCAAGCGTGCGGTACTCACAGCACTAGAAGAAAAGCGGATGGAGGATGTGGATGAGTACGGACGGCGACTTCCCATCAATCATGAAATGGTGCAGGATGATGTTGAAGCTTTGTATAAAGCCGTTCGCAGCGACAGAGGTGGAGAATCCGCCATGATCCAAATAGTTGTCTCGAGAAGCGATAACCACTTGAGAGAAGTTCTGAGGCTCTACGAGAAGGTTGTCGGCGGTAATTTCGCTCGAGACGCGCTAAAGAAGAGCGGAAATCTTGTGGTAAGTACTTGGGCTGCCGAACCCCGGTTGGAGATACGCTGCTAAACAAATCAATATAGGGCGAACTCCTAGCTCATATCCTCAATGGAGTTATTAACAAGCCTGTCCGCGATGCACTCCTTCTCCATCACGCCCTTACCGCTTCCAGGAAGGATCAATTACGTCGTGAACTCCTCATCTCCCGTCTCGTTCGTTTCCATTGGGACCGCCACCATATGGCAGCTATAAAGAAGGCCTATCGCGAGCGCTACGGTGAAGAGCTAGCCGATGCCGTAAAGGAGGGGACTAGCGGCGGCTGGGGGTCATTCTGCCAGCAGCTGGTTGTCACTCGCATGCCCGACGATGTGAAGAGCTTCGAGAAGGTTGAGGCTGTGAAGGAGATCAAGCGGTCGGATCGGGAGAAGGAAGAGAGGATTAGGGAAAGAGAACGTGAGATGGATCGCGAAAGCGAGAAGGAGAGGGAACGAGAGGAGAGATATAGACGGAAGGAAAAGGAGAGGGAGAGGGAGAAAGAGCGGAGGAGGGAGAAAGAGAGAAGCGAAGGATTACTTGTTGTTAAGGATCACAAGCACAGAGACAGAAGTCGCAGTCGAGAGAGGAGCAGAAGCCGGGCGCGAGAGTAAGGGGAGTTTGGACGAGCCGGATATCACTTTATTAATGACGTCAAGCGATACACAGCCGGGCTGTGATATAGAATGATTTGATGAAGATGAAGATTAACGAATATTGAGTCGGGGGATATAATAGGCTTCTATCTAATATCGCAACGATGCCATATACGAAGTATATATATCGATAAACTATGAGAGGTATTTTATATAGAAGAGTCCAATACAGACCCGATACGACGAGGTATTATATGCCCTAAGTAATTTTGCTCTTTTTCTAGGGCTCGTACGACGACATGTCCGGTGCCGGGGGGATTTGATGTACAGTAGAGCCAATGGAAACTAGAGCGTCGAAGAAGCAAGGGGTAAGTCACCAATTGGGCACGACTCCAAGAGTAGATGGATTACCGGAAAGATCCTATTCGACGGTTGCGTATGGCAGTGCTACAATACATAGAGTATTGGTATGGGAAGCCCTTCTAGTCGGTAATGAAGAGTATTATCGTGGTACTGATAGACTATATAATATATAATATGTACTATAATCCTTGACAGTTGCCTTGTAAGTCGTAGAAATTCAAGTCAACTTGGCCACTCTCCTCTTTCCTTAGGTATAACTACACCAACTTACCTACTCAAGAGAAAAGGCTACTGCTATACATGTTATATCTAGGAACGCAATCACCTTGCTACAGCTTGCCCCCTTCCCCAACGCCCAAATGAAGGTTCCTACTTGTAATTACATTATGTAGCTTGGGGCTACTAGGCCAATCTCAGATAATTCCATTAGAAAATGCCTCCTTTCATACACTCCTGTAAATCCCATCATAGTAACACTCATACTACTAGTTTCAATATCGATCAAAATGTCACAAGACTCACACTTAGCCACATTGCGATATAGCAAAATCCTACGTATTCTCCGGAGGCTGCAAGGCAATACGAAGAGCTTGAGCATTCTTCTAGATCAGATGAATGCTCGGTTTGATCGATTTGATACTCGCATAGATCGACTAAGCAACGACCTACGTAATCATATTCAAGTTTCGTAAGTATCAAGAGTACCTAATCTATCTAGTTCATAGTAATTAATACTTGACATCCCTCGCCGCTAATCGATTCACTATAGCGAAGGTATTTCTGCCTCCGTAACTTCAGTAAGCACGGATAATACTGGAGAGGTGACACCTATTGCAGGGAAGGACCTGTGGCAACGAATCCGCAACTCCCGCTACACAAAGGAGGACTGCCTTCAGAAAATATGCTTCTATAACTGGGCGATGGGTCTTGCTGCGCTCTGTCGATCTACGGGAATGATGGATGAAATACGGCTCATGAGAGAAATATACCTAAACCTCGATCCCGGTCTGCGATCACTCGCCTCGACCCCCAATGCTACGTTTAGCCTTGAAGAATACGTCGGCGAGCTCGTCGACCATAATCGTGCCTGGCGAATTATCCTGCGGGAAGAAGACCAGGGACACAACGATGACAGCATCTATATCGTCGACGATACAGAGGCAACCGAAAGTGTTAATCCCACGAATAGCTCCCAGATGTCAGATAACTAGGAAGATATGACGGTAGACGAGGCCTTGGAGGACTAAAAGCAGCTTGTAGTGTAAGGTTAGCTACGAAATGGGAGAGAATGCCTACACCATAAGTCTTGAGCGCATTGCGTCACGATTTTATTCAGTTAAAACTTAGGATTCTCACATTCCTGGGTTCACCGAGTGCGAACGCGACATGTACATAGCTACCTAGGTAGCTATTTTATAACACCCAGTAGTACATCTATCGAATCATATTGTTAGATGAGGTTATAGGAATGGTACGAAACACACCGTAAAGATGGATAGAACGTCAGATACCTAGGTAGCTAGTTAAAGCTTTTCTAGCAGGTGAAGTTGTATAAAATTAACATATACCTAACATACTAGGCATGCCTATGGTATTAAACCCCCTTAACACAAGCGTCTACACTCCCGATGGTATTAAGACCCCCCTTGTAGAATACCAATACCACAATATCCCCACCATCGATGCTAAAACATAGAAATACAACACCATCTGCACCACAGGGAACTGTAAACTTCCCGGTTGTATCCTATCCAGCGGATTCGTCTTCTCGTTCTGCAAAACACCCCGGTCCCTATCCATATCCATATCCACACCCGCGTTTCCTCGCCGCCACGGCACCCCCACCCGGAAGTCGTCTAGGATCTGCTCGGCCGTGATCTTAGCGCCGGCCAGCGCGATCGGGACTCCGGTGCCGGGGTGCGTGCTGGCGCCCACGAAGTAAGCATTTGCTAGGCCCTTGGCGCGCGTCCCCGGTCGGAAGGCCAGCACGTTGAAGAATCCGTGGCCTAAGCCGAGGATCGACCCCTTGTCTAGGTTGAACTTGTCTTCCCACGCGGCCGGGTCGTTGACGATCTCGTGCGTGATGAATTTGTCGAGAGGCGAGCATCCCGTGCGCGCTGATACCGTCGATAATACGGCGAGCCGCGCCCGGTTTACTAGCGCTTCCCAGTCTTGGTCTCGTGGTAGACCCGCGCTCTTGGGCTCCGGAAAGCCTTTCGACTCCGGTAGGTGGCCGACGGGGACAAGGACAACTACCGAGTCCCTGCCCTCGGGGGCTGCGCTGGCGTCGATCCGGCTAGGCACGTTGACGTAGAAGCTGGGCTCTTTGGGTAAGGACTGCCGGTCGAAGATGGCGTCGAACGATTCCTGGTATTCATCCGCGAGAAAGATATTATGCGTCTGCAGTTCCGGAATTGTCCGGTCTAAGCTCCAATAGAAAGATATCGAGCTACACGAGCCGTCTTTCTTCCTCAGAGATTTACCGTAGCTCTGCATTCTCGGCGTCTGCGGGAATAGATTCGAGTAAGCGTAGACGAGATCCGCGTTCACGACGACTACATCGGCCTCTAGAATCTCGCCTGTTTCCAGCTGCACCCCTCGCGCCGCTTTCCCGTCGGGGCCCACGAGGACTTGCCGCACGGGCGTGTTAAGTCGATATTCAACCCCCAGCCTCTCCCCAACCCTCACGAGAGCCGCTAGCACGGCATGGAAGCCCCCGCGCGGGTACCAAATACCCTCAGCAAGCTCCGTGTACTGGAGCAGCGAGTACGTAGCCGGGGCATCGAAGGGCGACATGCCCATGTACATAGTCGCAAACGTGAAGACGCGCCTCAATCTCTCGGTCCAGAAGTACTTTCTGGCGCGATCCCAGACTTTGTGCAGAGGGTGCAGCTTCAGCCCCGTGAGAATAAAGTGCGGGACTATCAAATTCCAGAAGCTCGTGAAGTTTTTATGCAGCACCTCGCTAACGCTGAGCTCGTAGTGCTGGTGCGCCTCGCGTAACCAGTCGAGATACCTGTGGAATCCATCTTTGCCTTCCCAGCGCTCGATCTGGGTCTTCATGCGCGCGAGGTCTGTCGACAGCTCGAAGTTCTCGCCGTCCGCGAACCATACTTTGTAGTTGGTAGGGCAGCGAAGCAGCTCCACGTCCTCGGCCTCGAGCGAGGTGTCGAGATCACGAAACGCCTCCTGGAAGAGCTTGGGAAGCAACAAGAGAGACGGGCCCTGGTCGAAGCGATGTCCCTCGTGGAATATCAGGCTGCATCTCCCGCCGGTGAATGAATTCTTCTCTAGTACAGTTACGGAAAACCCGGCTTTGGCTAGCCGGGCTGCTGTTGCGATGCCACCGGCACCAGCTCCTGGGACTACGTTAGTGAGGTGGCTGTATGATGTATGTAGTAGTGTACTAACCGACGACAATCGCTCTCTTCCTACTTATCTTAGGCATATCTCCCCTTTCGGCGCGATGTTCAATCAGCATAGGTTAGGTACCTATGTAGTTAATATGGACAATGATAGACCGACAGTGTCAGATTCTTTATAAATTATAACCAAAAATAAGCCAAATATTAGGTACCCAAGATCAGATACGACCATGCCAAAGACGTCAGAATGGTATATAACTTGGACAAATACCATCTAGGTATTCCGTAGACGTAAACGAAAACGATTCACAGGCCTGGTTGGTGCCTCCGAGACAAAAATGTAGGTAATGAAATAAATAGCACACGTCGTCTCCCAGCCAAGCGCCAACTAACTAGCGATTCGATATAACGACCCAACCCAACATCCCGGGACAGATGGTGCATCCAGACGATCCGGGCGGCAATCTAGCCTCAGTACGAGAATCAAACGAAAAACGAACAAAGAGGCGCAGTGCAGCCCGCGATCTCAATATGTTATTGTTATAGTTCGCATCGTCCAGGGGGGCTGGACATAATGATTCATCATTAGAGCGTGAGAGACATTTCCTACATGGCGTACCTAATCGATAGGCAAATCTACTGTTGTTACCTTATTTCGTACAACCTAGATACTCATCTGATATATGCGAGCTTTTGACTTTCGGCGCGAGTCGGCGAGGTGGAATAGAAACTTAGCTGAGTCCGGCTGACATTCGATACAATTCAGCAAGTAGATTATAACTTAAATTTAGAATATCTTACGAAATTGTCTGATGAAGTCGTCACGAGGAATATTTTATTTCCATAACTTCTATCGGAACAAGCAGTAATCTCACACCGGAAGCTGGGATTCACAAGAGAGGATGGCATGTATCTACCTACGCTATTATTCTACATGTACATATTGATGCGTTGCTATCTATCTAACCCAAATGACACATCATTCCTCATAAACAATTACCGATTAAATAGAAATACATATATACCTAAAATTTGGAATGGAAAATAATCCGAAATAACGGTCAGACAGTAGAAAGATTCTTCCATGCAACCCATATCCGCCGTAGTCGAGGAACCGTTGCCCGCCCCTTACGAGTTTTCGAAGGGACTCCAGTTCTCTCTCGTAAAACCCGGCCTATTTCCATATAGCTCTCGACAGCTACGATCAGAGGACCGCGGACTTCGTGGGGAAGCATGCTCATGGTATCTCGTGATCGCTCGTACTCCTTAAACGCCCAATCAAGTAACTTCTGTCTGAGCATTTCTACTTTTAGCTGTGTCGGGTCTTTGATAACATCCTGCGGTGTCAGATCCTCTTGCTTGAGCCAACCTGAGGGCAGGTAAACCCTGCCAATTTCGGCGTCCACTATAATATCACGAGCGATATTGACGTATTGCAACGCATGTCCCATCATCTGGGCGGCAATCACTAGAAGAGATTCCTTGTCGCTTGGAAGTTTCGCGGTGCTGTGGTGGAATACGAGCCTTAAACATAATTCACCAACAGTACTCGCGACACGGTGCGCGTAAAGTTCGAGGTCCTCTTCGTCCTGAATAGGAAACTGTCTAATTCGTTGGCGAGTACCAAAGGAGAGGTCCATTTTAAAGCCTTCCAAGAGCTCATAAAATGGCCTACTTGGTAGAAGCTTTGTGGGTAAGAGTATCAGCGCAGACCTTGCTGACTCCGGAAAGTTTTCCTCCACGAAATCTTTAACAATACCCATTGAAGATGAGGGTTGGTTATCTGAACCGTAAACGTGATCAAGGTAGTTGGTCAGCTTTTTGATCCATAGTGTGGCTTCTCTCTCCCCATGTGCTTCATCTATCAGATCATCTGCTACTCTACAGAAGGAGTACCTAGAAAGAATTAGTACGGGAGGACAAGATATGGCGCAGTGCTTACTCACAGAAGAACGAGATCGATGCGAAGACGTCCAGGGAAAACTGAGCTAGCCAAGTAAAAGCTCCTGCTCTTCCGCCGCAATGTCTGGACGGCCTCTCTGATACCCTTTACCCGTACCATGTCATATTTTATAGGATCAAGTAAGACGGCTTTGGCGAGGAGGCTTGGAGGAGGCATCTCTGGTACGACAGGGAACAGTTCCGGGAAAGTGTATAGAACCGCCAGTCCCCTATCGAAGGCGACTAGGCCAAATACAATTAACACATTGGTAAAGAGGAAAAACACAGCTTCCTCCAGCTCTAGGCTTCCCCACAGACGCCATCCTAGCTTTGTTCCGGACTCAATAGCCCATGTTCCGCGTCCTAGTGCGAGCTCGTCTACAATCCATAAATACACGGTGGGTAAGACGATTGGAACTACAACGCAGGAAGTAGGTAGATTAAGTATAAAATAGCCTGAAAGTGACCATGTAAGAAGTGCGACGGGACAAGCCCATATTAAGATGAGGCCAAAATACGTTCCGCGGCCCCCCTTTCCGACGAGTGAGATGCTAGCGACGATACATGCTATCAGGAGAGCTTGGCCTGTTGTTCGTATTCGTCGAGATTTGGGTGAAGAGTCATTTGGATTCGTAAGAAACTGAGCGTGGAGAACAGGTTTGCTGAGCAAGATGTATAGCATCGACGTGATATAAGTCTGTATGACGAAGAAGAATAATTCTTCAGCCGGGATGCCAAAGAGACGCGGCCCGGCTATGGCGTCAGGAGGGTACGTCCAGACGCCATGACGTATTAGATACGAATCCCAGGGGAGCGTCGCAAAGAAAGCAACTAGTATCAACGTAAACGTTTTATACAAGTCAAGCTTCGTGAGAAGCGGCTTCAAGATGAAAGTGAGAATACAAGCCGGGGGTATAGTGTACTTGAGATGTCTGCTCGAGGAATTAGTTCATTGTTCTCATAAGAATGTTCTCATAAGAAGAAGTGCTCGTTTGTAAAGGTAAAGGCTTCCTGTGATACTTACACGAGGGCGTAATCGTAGGCCATAGCGAGTGCCAGGCCTTACGGTAAGTTTATCAACGCGTATATACAACCAAGATTACAGTCGACCAACATAACTTGTCGTGGCGATTATAAAGTTTACTTATGAAATCTGTAAAGGGTGTGGTGGGATCAGTAGAAATAGCTTTAGTAGAAATAGCTTCAGCCAGTGGGCAGAGGCAAAATTGTGGTAATTGTGGTAATACATGTTTACTTCGGACTTCCGGATTTATATCGTAGGTTAGCAGTTGATTTGACGTTTCTGGTTTATTAAAATATATTATAACTATTTGATGAGATCATAGACTTGAGATTGAGATTAGCTAGTGTGCTTGTGTTAGTGTGTCTTGCAGGATTAAGGGATGATAGTTGTAAAGTGATAAAATTCCCACGATCGCCGGGACTACTAGGTAGTACGCCACGCCTCTACATACACGAGGTGCCTGCCTTAGATAGATACTCCCGAGATGGCGCTAAATAATGCAAGATCTTAGTGGGGGGTCACTTCCCATTAATCGCCATCCCAGGTACCCAGATACCCAGATACCTGGTAGGTACCTAACCTACATTAGGTAATAATCAGTAATAAATCACACCTCGGCTTAAGCTGGTTCCGGTTACATTCAACCAAGATCTGTCTCACTCCTACACCCTGCCTAACGCCCTAACGCCCTAACGCCCTAAGAGCCTCAATCCGAACTACCTAACCTACACCACTGTACGAAGTATAATTCTCTTCCCCGTCATTAAGAATCTAGTGCCGGAGCAAAGCATATGAGCTAGACCACCTCATAATGCTGGTCGGTAGCCCCCGAACCGCACAGCTCGGCCTACGGGCTGCAGCTGCAGCGTCGGCAAGGCTCGTCTATCCGAGGCTTATTACTCAAGTCCCTCGTCCCGCGATACAACTCTACCGACTTAACTCCAGATCCTTCACCATATCACAACGACATCTTGCCGAAGCCCCCAATGATCCAAGCAAAACCACAGGCACAGGCTCAGGCGCCGCCACAGCCACCGCTACAACCACGGCCTCCGCTATGCTCAAAGCCGTCGCTACAACCACATCCACAGCCACCGCTAAATGCCCCCCCAAACCCCCCGCGTCCTCCACCCCCAACCCTCCTCCTCCACGCCGTCGCCGCCGAGGCATCTACTACTCCACCATCTTCCTGCTCATCGGCCTATCCCTCGGCACCCTAATCCGCGTATCCCTCGCCCCTCCCGCGCCCTACCCCCACGGCTCTCCCCAAGACCAATACCACGTCTCCAAGATCCGCGACGAGGGCTCCGCGCTGCCCCTCGTGCGCGCACTATCCTCCGACCCGACCTGGAAATCCTGGGACGCGTACTCGGGCGACGCGCAGCAATCCGCGACCATGGTGCAATCGCGCCTGACGTCCGGCCCTCTAGGCGATTCCCACGGCATCCCTTTCCAGCGCGTATTCCGAAATACCAAGACCAACGAGGTCGTCAGCGTGGTGTACCTCGGCGCCGCGACCGCGGGCTGGCCGGGTGTCGTGCACGGCGGAGCGCTGGCGACGCTGCTGGATGAGAGTTTAGTTCGGTGCGCGGTGCTGCTGTTCCCCGCGCGCACGGGGGTTACCGCCCGTCTCGAGCTCCAATACCGTGCGCCTACGTTGACTTCCGCTTTCTACGTTATTCGCGCCCGACCAATGATCGGCGAGGGAGAGGACTCGTCCAAGAGCTATCGTAAGATGTGGGTTGAAGGTACACTGGAGACACTCCACGGGAAGATCTGTGTCGAGGCCAAAGCACTGGCTGTTGTGCCCAAGGGCGTTAAGCTAAAACCACTTGTTGAAGAATTCTAGGACGGCACGTTAGTGGTATATTAGGCATGTTCATACAGTCCCTGAGGGGACTTTCTCGAAGGCAGTGGGTAGATGATACTCCCATCCAGCATTTACAGGCGTTTTGGCACAAGAGGTAATTGAGAGACGATACCAGAGCATAAAGCTGTTTTTCGCTATCTTAATATATATCTATCATAGAGCATAGTTACACATGAAATGGGAATACGTTCCCGACGTATCTCCATTATTCCCACTCACAACTTTTTTTGAGCGACAAAATGAGAGAAAACTAGTAAGCAATGAGATTCGTCCGGCCCATTGAATATATCTGAAAACCCACTCCTTGTCAGTATATCGTGCCTAGGGGCATGGAGGTTGTAGAAATGCGTTGAGGTAGTGATTTTCGCTGATATCAGCTCCGTAGAACAGTACAGTACCCCAAGGAGGGAAATCCACTGGCAGCGGGTAATAGCTCGTTGTACGATAAAAGGAATCCTATTGCGCTTGTTCGGCTGGAGCTAATTGCTGCACCGGCGGTGGTGGTTGACCATAGTTCGGCGGACCCCGACCCCGGTACCCTCCTCTCGATCCACGAAAGCCACGACCTCGGTAGGCTCCACCGTATCCTCGTCCGCCTCGAAAATTGCCACGATGACTTTCGGGTAAGTTTGGCTGGGCGGGATTGCTGGGCGGCCTGTTACCTGATTTCTCATTCTTACTGAGTCTATCGGCATCTTTCGTGTCTCTTGGTGATTGCTCAGTCGTAGAAGACGAAGACTGCGTAGTGGGATTGTTCCCCCCGCGACCTCGGCCGCGTCGCCGGACAAACGGTCGTTTGGAACTTTTAGGCTTTCCTTCCACAGAAAAGTCAATCTTCTTCACCGGATCTTCGGCCATAGCGAGGCCTTTCAAGCCAAATCGATCCCAATCTTCTGTTGGTGTCGTCCAGGCTTGAAAAACATTTTCTAGTTTTTCAAGCTTCCGCACCTCGGGTACCCAGCAACGCACATATTCCCCATCCTTGTCATAATCAAAAGCTTGTTTTACGGGGTTGAAGATCCGTGCTTCTCCTCTCGGGTCGTTTCCTACCCCGGCAACGTACTGCCAGTTTGCCCAGTTAGATGAAACGTCGTAATCGACCAATAGCATTTCGTACCACTCGGCACCATAACGCCAATCGATACAGAGGTGTTTGGCAAGGAAACTCGCGACGTTCTGGCGGGCACGGTTCGAAGTATATCCTGTGTGTAACAGCTCTCTTTGAGACGCATCGATCAGTCCCATCCCAGTAGTTCCGTCGAATATTCTCTGCACTATCTTTGAAATTTCGTCCGCTGACTGCTGTTGCCCCTCAGCCATGTCCTCACTCTTAGCCGATTTCCATTTGTTGGCGCCATCATCTCTGAACCCAGATCGGAGGAAGAGCTTCTCCTTGAACTTCCTAGTACAGAGCCTCATGTAGTCACGCCACAGCAACTCAAACCGTATAGCTTTTGTCCCTTCGTTTTCTCCATCTCCATACCCCTGAGATTCGGCTAGCGACTCTTCCTTTCCATCTTCGTATGCTACAAGTTTATCATGTACCTGGCGAGCGGTGATACATCCTTGTGCAAGATAGGCAGATAATTTTGTGCTGAAATCGCTTCCTAAGAGCCCATTACGCGAGCTCTTATACAAGGAGACACTCCCCGATTGGATTAGATGATCTAATCTACTATGAGCATTATCTTCCCCGCCGCGAAAAGGATGAGCCGACTTAGCTCCTTCGGGGAAGGGTGGAGCGTTAGACAGCGCTCCCCTAACAGGTCTTAGAAGTGCTTCTTCGAATTCATCGTATGAAGACGGGATATCGAAGGGCGCTTCCTGCCTTGGAATTAAAGACTCTTCGACGGACTTGGGCAATGTATCTTTCTGCGGGGTAGACAAGGTCGTCCTAGGTTTCTCTCGTAATGGTTCCATCATTTTTCTATAAGTCGTAAACACGTCTGGGAGGTCATCTTTGTCGATTTTTATATCTCGACTAGGCGAGTGGGGATTCGTCAGTAAAATCCGCCTCGAGGCTATGATCATGACTCACTCATCGATGAAGTATTTTTCATCTACCCATGCTCTAAAGTCTATACCAAGACTTGAGCAAGTCTTCGATATGAGCTTCTCATCTCGTTTCTCTTCGTAGCCTTCTTCCCCTATCGCCCACACTCCTCCAACATTAAGCCCCTTTAGTCGCAAACCATCAATGAGTGCCTTTAATACGCCATCGTACGTCCCTATCCTAGTCGTCAAGTTGCTTCCTAATTTCTCTAGGTTGTCTTTCAGGTTCCAAATAGATTGGGCAATAAACGCAGCCCTGTGCGGTCCACATCTCCAGTAGCGTCCAACTTTGCTTTTAGCTTCGGGAAAGGGTGATTTTCCGCCTTCCTTTAGAAACCCGGAAACCTCAAGTTGGTGAGGTAGTAAGACAAAGAGAGGTAAGAGGTGCGTGAATCCATGGGCGGTTGTAGAAGCGAGATGATGGAGGATGGGATTGTCAGAGACACGTAAGTCGTGGCGCACAATGTAGACAAGCACATTGTTAGCCGACATGGCGACTTAATCAGTATGTAAGAAAGACTCGAGGTTGACGGACTACCAAAGTTGTGATTTAGATACAGAGCTCTTGTTCGATATAGGCGCGAGTAACTGCCGCGAGAACGGGTAAGACACAGTAGTAGACGATTTTTGAAAGCAGCTATCTCTTCCACGGACCGAAGCTCTAGTGGAGCTGGCCAAGCTTTGGTGAAATACGATTTGTAGACAGAGATAGTTGACGTCTTTGATAGTTTCGTTCGTCCCTATACTCTCCACGTTAAAATTACCGCCGGAAACGTAATGTGAGCAGGCGCGTGATGACGAAGACGAATATAGACCTCAAAGATCGAATTCAGGGTCGAAATACAGATCAAGGCGGCTGAAGGCGATTCAGATTCTCGTACTCTCGTCTCTTAGGCCGATGTACAACACAGCAAGGCTGACCCACCACTCCCGATGGGACCAACCAACAACCAGGATGACGGTATCTAGAATCGAGCTAGAGACAAACTGGCTTTTCTAAAAATGGTAAAAGCGTCTCCTGATCAGGGAGTTTCGCCCTTAAGTTACAAAGGGGCGCTAATGTATAGGAGTGGCTCACTAATGCAGTGGGTGTTCATGGAAATTATATATGCGAGAAAAGCAGAGAGTTACTAGGAATTCCGTCTTGAAGGCCAGGTCAGTCGAAACGAGACTATCCCACGATGCTGGAGGTAGCTCAACCAAATCGGACGTTCCCGTGAGCAAGATCCAGACCGTAATTCCGATTCGTATATGATTTGTATACGAGTGTTGTGGACTAGGTAGAGGGCAAAGAAAGCACAAAGAAACACAAGGTGAAGTGAGACTCTTTCCCCTTAGACCCAGTGGCAATGCAGACTTTGGGCCAAGAATAAGATGATAACCGAACCGTGATATGATCCATCTACAGAATAGGAATATCTGAGGACGACAAGGGATAGGCCTCTTCAAGGTCCAGACATATGATCCTAGACCTGGTCTTTTGGATAGAGGAGCCCGGCAAAGCAAACACGGATGAGGATCGACAACTCAACTGAAGGCGGAGGCCATGCCTCGGAAGAAGATGGCATTTGATTATTACGAGTAAATCCATATTGCCGGGTGCGTCTGCTGGAGTGCAGATCTGGCCACGGTCTTTGGTGCGTTCAGAATCGGGATTGGAAAGAGTGCACGCGCTGGTTGCCATGATGCTCAGAATTGTGTCCGGGGGTTAGAGATCGGGAACCCGTAAAATAAGATTTTTGGGGACTTTAGAGCCCAGGGCAGCCAGGGGTCGCTGCTTCGGGACCACTAAGAACGCTTACATACATTGCGGAGCACATTCTTCTTGGATCGCATTGGCTAATAGAGTTGGCAGTTGCAGTCGGGAAGAGCGATCTACTCTGGCCTAGGCCTATGTAAGGTACATACAAACGATCTAGGTTAGACACCTAGGTACTTACCTGCTTACTTACATTAAGCACAACCTTACATACCGGTACCTATATATATATACGGGCATGTATGTAATGTAATGTTACCACCTACGTAGGTGATGTATAATACCACATGTAGATACCACCTGTACGGTTTGCTCATTGAATTGAATGTTACTGCACATATCAGGTAAGCATTAAGTACCTCATATATGCACCTAGGTAACATACCTTACCTTAGGTAGGTTATGTACATATATGTGCGTTGGCCAACCTCCAATAGGTACCTAATACATCAGCTTCAAAATATAACAAAGATAAAGTATAGGTAGGTAACTAGTAGAATAATACTATGGTTTGAAACATGGATGTTTTCGTTCAAAAAAGGCATGATATCCATAAGGGCGTAAATCGCCGGAAATTTACGTAGGAAATAAAAATGTTTCTGAACGCCACAGTCTAGACAATCGTCGACTACGACCTCAGGTAAGATCCACATGTTCATACCCCCCCTATCTAAACCCGTGACCCATTAAACCGGCTTAAGGTCAACTACACCTTAATTTAGAAGTCGACATCTTTTTGGCTAGAGCTAAAGTCAATTGGTAGCCGCATCTTTTAATGGTTGCCACACAGCCACCTACCTTCTATCTAGCATACGAGTAAGTGTGATTGTATAAGATATAAGATCGTGGCTAGGTGAAAATAAAACATACAAATAGTAGAAATACAATATCGGATTAGATGACGTTACGACGAGATGCATACCCAAGTGAGCAGATCACATCTTACCCATCATGTAGTGTTCTCTATGTCTATAGAAGTGTACCTAGGTACGGCATATGGTAGTTTACAGAACTCACATATAACTCCGTTTCTTTGGGAAGCTATTCTATAAATGCTGTATGTAACTGATAGATAACGGAATGTCCTTTTCTTCGTATGGACATGAATGATAAACGTCATTAAGTACCTAGGTTGTCATATTACTAGGTAATTCGACTAAAAGAAAGAAGTAAAGGCCTGCCTGTCTGTCTGTTATCAACTCAATTCATTATAGATCATACGAAACTTACTAAGCAGATTAAAAGGTGTAATTAATCATTGCTATCTCGGCTGAAGATCAACCTTGTGGCGGAAAGCCCTAGTCCCGTAGACGATTTAACGTTAGCTCCTCCATCCGCTCCCGGTTGTAGAACCTCGATCGAGGTCAAGAGCTCTCCAGATCCGCATCGCGTCGTCTTGCTTGGCTGTCAAGAATAGACGGTGTGTGCCAACAGCCTGTTGTGTATACGGCAATTTTCTGATATATGCAAGCACCAGCAGGGACTGTCATGCAGCTGACGTCAAATTCGTCAGTGATGCATTATCTCTAGCGTCAAGCTGTACGATCCTTACGTCTACATATTTATTGTATATAGGTTATCATTACTATTCTATCCCTCATACTGTTATTAATATTCGTTAACTTGTGATATATCAATTTAGTCATTTCTACGACGTCCCACGTAGTGTCACCAAGTATGGGGGTTTAATACAAGTTAGCCGCACTAGGTCTTGTACGAAACGTCCATAATTCGAATGCCATGTGGCACGCAGACCTTCCGGAATAATAATAGCTAAGTCACCTAATCAACTAATGATAAGAATTTCTGTACAACAAGGAGTATAATAAATAGATTATTGATGACATGGTATCCTAGTCCATGCCGCTCACCACCGGTGGGTGTTATCGCGATACATTCTACTGTGCTAGTTCTTTTTGTTGATTGCGCCAACATCACCACGAGGGTTGGCCTCCACGCATTCCTTCAAATTATGGAATAAGTTGGACCGGGTAGAAGCGGTAATGCCCAATGCCAATATCGTTGGGTTAAGGCTTATTACGGATCTGAGAGCCTAGACTCTGGGATGAGGCTTTCCTGCAGCTCGTTTCTAGAACGGCCGTTTACCCCTTGAGAATTCTGTGTTGCTTTTGTAAATAAATGCCTTTGCACGAATTATAAATTATTTTAGAGCCTGATCGTGGTAGTAAGGACCATGCTTACGAAGGGTCTAGATGGACTTGCCCTGGTCAACATATACGCAACCTGCAGTCTGATGCGTCACTTCTCTGTATGTCGGTTTACGATCCAGAATCTCCAGCACCAAGTCCTACAATCGAACCATAGAAAGTTTGGCGTTTCCGAGAAAGCCGTATATGCCGTAACGCAACTGACTCGTCACACGACACACGAGAACCAGCGGGACATAGTGACATTCCCTCCGCTACTGGGAAGATATGTAAAATGACCGTTTAATGGTACCCTATGGCCTTTTCGTTACGGAATGGAGCATATACTCAAGCTGGAAAGACCTTTCTCTCGAGGCAGGGTAAGGTGATATCGGGGTAGGCTACACAGCGTACCCTCAACAACCCAACTCGCATGCTGCTGGTTCCATTTGTACCTAAGCCCCTAACCCGAGTGCATTTCGACCACTTACGACTGCCACACTGATACAAGAAGGATGCTGAGCCGAAGATGCTTTGACCGGCTACAAATCTATAAACAGTGAGTGTACTGGTAATTCGGCTCCTATGCTCCTATGCAAAATGGTTCGATTCTTGCAGCGGCAGAACCCGTGGTATTTTACTCCAGGGCCCTCCAATGAACAGGCGCGTGTCTGACTGACGTGCTATGCTTGTTATCTGTGTCCATTATTTATAGTACGTTGGGGGATAGGTATGGTTTACACATGTTACATTCGAGTTTTGATGTCTACGGTGCGAGACATGAATTTACAAGAGCGCAAAGGCTACTCCTCAGGCTGCTGCACTTAGATTTCTGTGGAGACTGTCTTGAGGTAAATACACCTAAGCAAATGTACTAGAAACTGGGACGCCCTGATAGCTGGTGGCGGTGAGATAGGTAGTTGTACTATGTAAGCTTCCTACTAGGTAGACAGTATTAGGAAGCGAACGAACTCCGTCCCACCACCACATTAGGCGTATTTCCACCGGATGCCTCATTTAAAAGGTGAATAGTTCTGAATTATGGCCTATGGATTTCTTGCCCGTTTGTTCAAATTGAGCTGGACGGGTAGCTTACCGGATGAGACGTAAACACTTGCTCTCGATTGACAAGAATGTCAGGACTCTAGATGAGACGTCCGGAACAACGGTCACTGTTAGTATGTGGTAGTCGTAAGTGCCCATAACTATATGAGGGTTCCTCCCGAAGCAATAAGGTTGTTTCCTTGCTTCTTGGTCTGCCTCGTGACAAAGAGTCGCCCAACATCAACGGCGAGGCAGGCCTTTGACCGAAGAGAATGGAAGCGTCGGCCATAGATAGGGCCTTAGCAGGAATTATGAGTCTAACAGCATCGTGGGTCCTTTGCGCCCGATTAAGTACGGAATATATGAATAGTCATTTGCATGGGCAGGAATCGCTACGAGGCCCGAGGTGATTATTAACTTTGAGCTTCGATGGTCCCTAATATATACATGTATTGAACCTTATGAATGATGTGACAGTCCCAAAGAAAATTGAAGAAGGTTGAGATATGTACCTACATATCTTGTAGTGTTCCGATTGGATCACGTCACAAAAATATGCATGGACAAAAACCACAGACAAAACACTGGCAGACTGGGTTAGCTTTTCAACCAAATCTACCAAATACATAATATAATGCATTAATTAGATAATTAGACCAGAGGGACATTGCAATGACGTATCTGGGGTTACAACGCGTGGTGCAAAGCGTAGTGCAATTGAGGCTGATCTGCTACGGCTCGTCCGTAGATGTTTGATGCAAAGTAGCGCGTTGATTGAATATGTTAAAACACGATTTATCGCGTTCACCGAGAGGTCTCCGACAGCACCAGCATGTACCTATCGATTAGCCCCTTTCCTCTAAAGGTTATAGTTTGTGGCGCAGTAGCGTACCGAAGTATTGTACCTAAGCTAACCCAAGCTTCGGTGCACACGTGCGCTGGTAAGCGCTTGTGTTAGTGCACTAACAATTTCTTAGGAAAAGCCTAAGAATCAGAGGGTCTCGGAGATTTTGTCATAACAAAAATGGTTGAAACCCGAAGTAGCTCTTAGTCGTCTTAGTCTTAATTGAGGACTCCAATTGGCAAGGACCCCTTGTACTAGTGTATACCCCCTGTACACCAGCCATCGATAGCCGTGGGATTTTGAAGGTTTCTTAGGTTTCTCAGGTTTCTTAGTGAATCGCAATGTAACTTTGCCCTGCATCTTATAGGGCGCTTCCGGGTTCACTTCCGCCTCCAACTTTTTTCGATGAGGCTGAATCAATCCGATAAATCATTACATCCTGGTTCTTCAACGTCAATTCTCCTTATCCATCTCATAACATGATCAAAATATGACCTAAGTCATCATCAATTCACTTTCGGCATAATCCATTTGCCCCTGCCTTTGCGCAGCACTTGTCAGGCTGTCATTGGGCCGCCTGTATTGGCCGAATCTCGTCCCACTGAGAGCCTCTGAGGTTGATCGGCTAACTATACGCGCGCGAGAAAGAGGGACATCCGTACCCTTCGCCTTTTCAACTCGAGAGACCCTGACCTAACACCCGCCCATCTGGGTCTCGCATAACCCCCTTCCCGCCACTGACGGCCCGAGTCTTAATTCCTTCTCAGCGGAAACTAACCTACTTCTCTTGGCTTGCGTCCGTTAGTCTCTCATCTAAGCTACCTAGGTATCGTCTCACGCTTAGAGCATAACCTTTGGAACCTGCGAGAATCTATTCACCCTTTACTGAGAGCTCCGGCTCTCATCTCTCATCTCTCATCTAATTCAATATGGCGCCCACTATGAACCCCACGTCCGGGCTCAGGGCGCGGGGGAGTCAGCTGTCCGCCGGTGCAATTGCTGGAACGGTCATCGGCTGTGCCTTCGGAGGCAGCCTGTTCCTCATAATCCTGGGCTTTCTCTACTTCCGGTACAGACGGAAGTTGAGAGAGGCGAAAGAAGCGGGGATTTTGCCAGCTGGAAGCTCTACAGTCACCCAAGTTAGGACTTTATTCCCTGGTTTCCAGGGCTTCCGGCCTAGGCAAACCCCTGTCACACAACCGAACCATCCCCTTTCTACGAAGGATGAGTTCGAGAGAATCAACCCAGGCTTCAGCGACGGCTCTGAGTTCCAACAGACACAACCTGCCGTTTATGGAGGTGGATTTGTGAGTGGTCATGAATCTTATCACCTACCTCCAAACTTCGGTCAGCCGCCTCTACCCCCGGGCATCAACCTTCCTCTGCCCCCTCAGCCGACAGCTTTTCCAACTACCAACGACCTTGGAGCCAGTCTGCCTTCTAACAATGTCGTCACGGGATACGAAGCAGCCAATTCTAGTTATTATGACCCTAGGATCTCGATGGGCTCGAATCCTGAGCAAGAAGCAATACCACCGTCTAGACAGATGACTGAGCTTTACGAGGCTCAGCTGAGAGATTCTCGAGAACATCGAAGAAGAAGCGGCTCTCTGACCAGTCGGATTTGGAATAGCATCAAGAGGAAACGTTCTACGCATTCCTCGGCTCATGGCACCGTAAGCCCCCAGTACTCGACATCTCAACAGTACTTTCCTGCTTCGCCAGTTGTTAGTCCTGTCAGTATGAAACCGGAATTCGGTTTAGGAGCTGCGGAAGGAACTAGTACTCAAGCAAACCCTCCCGCGAATCAAATTTTCGAAGAGCCTGCCGAGATTTCTGGAGAAGCGGGTATCTCGACCGCTTCTGTGGGCAGAAACTCGTTAGAAAAGGATCAGCAACACAAGAGACAGAGACAAGGAGATTCCCAGTACGACGTGTACCCTCTTCGTACTAGCTCAACAATTCGAGAAACTACAGAAAGAGATCCCGAGCTACCTTCAGCTGCCCTTAGAAGTCCGGACTCCGCCGATCGGTTACCTCACTCAACTCAGCCACAATCCGAGACCCGGCCCCAAGAACGACTTATGAGCCCGGCCATCCCGGAGCCTATGCAGCTGGATGGGACATTTGATATTCCTCCTACACCTTCTGTCTTCCGCAGCTCACACTCTCCTCCTCTTCAGCCGGAATCATTCGTGTCGCCCATGTCCATCATGCAACCCTCTAACGCTGCCGAGAAAGCTGCTTTTACTCATTACCAAATGGAGAACTCGGCGTCTCCTCCGATCTTCTCTACCTCGCCTCCTGCCATCGTCGCGGACCATGCGGTGCAAGAAAACTCTGGAAACTTTGTTAGCCCTCAAGAGGACGTCGATGTAGAGAGCTTCCTGGATATCCCTAGTGATGACGAGCCTCGTCTATCTGGTGATTCGTACGACTACAGTACCACACCGGGACAGAGCTCTACGGATCCCTCTATGGGAAGGACGCCGGATACCCGGCTTACGATATCACCATCCCCGTATCCAAACAACATAAATGAACATGTCAAGATGGAACCAGAGTCGAGCTCGTCGCCGGAGGTCTCCAAGATTCCTTCTCCCCAATCATCCGGTCATATCTGCGAAGAGTGCGGCCGGTATTTTGATCAGGTCCATAAACTTAACCACCATAAACGTTATCACGACCGCAAACACGAGTGCCCCTACGAGGGATGCGACAAGAAGTTTGGTACTAAGACACACCTTGATCGACATATCAACGATAAGCACGTCAAGTCGAAAGCCTACCACTGTACAGAACCAACATGTCCATACTTCAAAGGAAGAAAAGCCTTCCCGAGAAAAGACAATTGGAGACGACATATGGTTAAAAAACACGGGGCGATGCCTAACGATCTAGAGGCAATGGATGAGTCGATGATATGATAGTTGGCAAGCAAACACAACTCTCAACTGCTTATTAGCAATAGTATATGCATATTGCTGTACGTCCAATACTCAGACGTGTATCACAGCACTACGGTTATTTCCACGGTATCATCAGCAAAGCCTATAGGGAGTCGGTATGGCTTAGCACCGTCTAAGGGTGAACCATCCGGCTTCTTAAACATTATAAACTACGTCCCCCGGATCTATGTATACTACCTAATAGTATAAAGGTCTAAAACTTTGCAACCTACGGCCAAAAAAAATTATTAGATTTTATTTATTAACTTGGATTTCGATACGCTCGTTTGCATATATTGGGTATACATTTTTGGTAATATATTTAGGGCATATGGGTATAAGCGATGTCGGGACCTCACTTTGGGTTGGTCATTGTAACAAAGCAGGGCGCAAAGGATTCTTCTCGGCAGGTGTATATTTCATATACGGACCACGGTATGAGCTTAGCTCCCCATGAATGCGGTCATTTTGGCCGAGGGCAAAACGGTTGGAAGCTCTCGAGCAACTTGCAATGCGAATCATTTCTATGCTTGTCAGTTCCATCATTTATTGGTGTCGGTCCCGAGGTCATTCTATTTTCTGGCTTATTCTCGCCGGTCTTGGAACTGTTTGCCTAGTAGTCATGTCTAGTTGTAGTGTAAAGCTAGTAGATGGATAAGTTTAAAATCGTAATAGTACTGAAAGCATCGCGAAGATATCCAATATTAATGATAACAAATTACTAACACCTGACTATTTCAGGTCTTCTACTATGTAGGATCCAACTTGTTTTAACCCGCATTAACGCTCCTAGGAATAGTCAAAAGCATGACTTTATATTCTTTTTGATAGACATCGCCAAGCGAAGCTAAGCTTCAGACAAGAGCCCAAGCTCCAGGATGTGACGATACCTCCAGACCTCCCGGAGATTGTGGGGTTCGGACAGGGATGCCGGCGCCCTCAGAACGGTCGCAACCCTTGCCGCGAAACACGGAGAAGCTCAACCGTCTCCCAATACGGTGTCAGATGGGGGACAATTCTCCCACCAGCGCAGCCTGGAAATAGATAATTATCGTCGAAGCTGATACCTCAGCGCGATAAACGCCAATTTGGATCTTCGGCCCCCCTACTTTCTTGGCGCCCTTCTAGATTTGCTCGAAATGCGCGAGGCTATGTATATAAGTCTGGACGCGATTTGTTGTGGACCGTGATTGGGATGTTTGATCTCCGTGACCCTGGGAGGAGGAGGAGTAATTTGATGACTTACATAGGTAGTTTACTCATAAGACTGACTGCGTTCTCTCGAAATCTGCGAAACGCGAATGAAGGTTCTGTTTCTCTCTCTTTTTCTTTTACACTTCTTTCACTTCTAAGCTCTTGACGAGCCTTATTTCGATAATCATACGTATATCCCTTTCTTTCTTTCTTTCCTTAGGCCCAGATCCGCCTGTCTCTTCTTGTTTTCTCGCTACATACGTAGTTCGTTACTCGTAATATATTTCCCCTTAATCCAAGTTACATTAGGTAGGTAGTCAGGATGTTGACCATCCGCTCGTTATCGCTACTACTCGCCCTAGGGGCCCTCTCCCTCGTCGACGCGGCACCGCAGAACAGGGGCGGTAGGAATAGGAATAGCCAGGGGGCAACTAGAAGTGGAGGACAACAACAGAAACAAGCTACGGCTTTTCAGCAGGCGCAGCAGATACCGCAAGGCGTCTCGACGGCGACGGATGGAAGCACCATCTTGGATATGACGGCTAACGTAAAGTACGTTTACCTCTCTAGTTACCTATTTAGTCATATCCAATATATGCCCAGGTTTATACCTATGTATAGGTAGACACTAACCTTCTCCAGCGGCCTCCCCCTCCGCTTCAAAGTCTCTGCACCCGCCGACCAATTCACAGCCGACTCCGGCGTCGACGGCGGCGCCCAGACGGCCGGTGCAGCCGGCGACCTAGGCCTAAACGTCCTGCTACACGGCGACGGCGGGCAATCGTTTTTCGACTTCCCCAACCAAGCCGTGCAGGACGGCCTCGCGGGAGTCGCCGTCCTAGCGCCGGACCCGAACCTCTTCTGGGGCGGCGGTTCCGGCCTCGACCGCACCGACGGCGTGGCTCACGCCCAGGCCGTCGCGGACCTAGTCGCGGATATCATGCCGCAGGTCCTAGCGTTCAACTCCAGCCGCGTGAGTTTCACGGGGGTATCCGGCGGCTCGTTGCTGCTAAGCGGGTTCTTGATGCCGGGGCACATGTCGCAGTTCGCCGGCGGCGGAAAGGAGTCCCAGGTGCTCCTTAACTGCGGGGGCTTAGAACCGCAAGTCGCCGTCGCGGACGCGGATGCCGCCGCGCTGGCAGCGACGCGAGTGCATTTCCAGAGCACGCAGCAAGAACTAGCGCTTCTGCAGCCCGCGATCCCCGCAGCGATCAAAGCCTACGAGCAGATCGCCACGTCGCAAGGACTGGACGCAGCAGCCGTCGGGGCCCTGCAGACGGTGGATAACTCGCCGAACGGGGGACACTGCGAGTTTGACGAGCAGGACTTCGTGAGCGGCGTGCAGCTTATGGCCGATTCGTTCTCGGCTGTGGTGCAGGGCGGCGATGGAACGCTGGCGGGAACTAATGTTAATGTGCTGAACCCGGTTGTTGGGAACGAGGAGTTGGCCTTTTCGGGGGCTTCGTAAGAGGAGATAGATAGGATAGGATAGGGGATGAGGGATACGTATGGGCATATATTTGTTAATAGGAGAAATACATATATTAAAGACATACATGGCGTATAAAGTGTCAGTGGTGAACACGAACTCTCTACCTAGGTTAGTAGTATCCTACATGTCTACCTACATATCCATCCCTTAAACTAAACTCTACCTATCAAGGGAGTTTATTCCTTCGACATATGAGTATACGGGAGTCTCCGTTTAAATATATAATGCCTTTAATAGTTAGGTAGATATAACATCAAGTCATCACCCATACTAGTCTACCTCTTAATCCCGACCAATCTCATTAAAGAATAGTCTCATGTTTTCGTCTCGGGAGATCTTAGAACGCTTTATAACAACTAGATAATCATAAAGAAGTTCATCGATAAAAACAAGTAAATCAAGGCCAGGCCACCGCTTCTGCCGAGAGATTCTAACCGTCATGTATTTAATTCCGCTATTCCACCTGCCTGTTCATGTGGTATCCAAAGCACCAGACGCCGCTTTATTATATCCCCGGAAGATCAGGTCAGATATCGCCTCTCAAGTGAGCATCGCTGAAATCAATAACGCAAAAGAAAACCCCCCCAAAAAACAAAAAACAAAAACAAAAAACCCTTTTTGATTTCTCCTACTCCTCCTCACTCACGTCGCTTTCTTGCTGATCCTCTTCGCCTAGTTCGGCTAACAGCGCAGCCTCGAGATCCGACTCATCTAGGGCAGGTTCCTCAGCGTTAGCCGGCTGTTCTTGCTGCACATCCTCCATCTCCTCATCCTCATCCTCCTCGTCTTCTTCGTTGGTTTGCGGATGTTGATGGGCGTTGCTAGTTTGTTGCATCTGCTGGTTGATCGGGCTAGGTAGGACGAAGTGCTCAATAGGCTCATCGTCGTCTTCCTCGCCGTCAGCGTCGTCGTGCTCCCCGTCATCCACCCGGCCTTCGTCCTCATTCATCAAATCGGAGAAACGGCGAATTCCAAAGAGGTTGGGAGAGTAGTGTTGATTGACTCTCGGCGCCTCGCCGCCTGGATTCTCTATTGTAAGGCCGAGGTCGTCGTCCGAGCTCTCTTCCTCTGAATCGTCCGAGGTGCGGCGCGGCTTGCTAGTTGCTATGGGCTTCGGCGGTGATTTCTTCTCGGGCATTGCTAGAACCGGCTTGTCCTCTGCTTTGGATTTTGATGCCGGTTTCCGCGGCTTAGCCGCCGTCTTTTTCTCTTCTTTCCTTCCATTTGCAGGTTGTCTCGTCGATCCTATGGCCTTGGCGCTGCTAGCAGCACTATGGGCGTTCAAATGAGGAAACTCTTGTCGCAAGCTCTCGGGGTCATCGTTTGATGGCGTCTTTACCAAGTTCATGTTGAACATGGAATCTACCTTGTGTAAGACAAAGACCTCGCGGGCGGGGTCGAAGATCAGCACATATTGGCTGTCTTCAACACCGCGTGTTCCTTTATATTGGTAACGGCCGCCGTCATCCTGGAATGCAAGATCGTATGTAGAGGCTCCCTTCTTGGAAGAAGATGCGGGCGTCGGTTTTATTCGTGCCTGGGCGGGCGCAGTAGATGACGATAATGACGGCTTATGATTATCTATAGTAGACTATCCGTTAGGCGTTGTTTATTAGCTGGTGCGAATGAGCGGCTTACATCTCACACCGGTGAAAACCTCCTTTGGGTCCTTGCCGAGCAAGGCATCGCTCAAAACAACTGGGTATTTGCCGGCTTTTGTGGGATCGACTATCCCCGCGGCGAGGGACGCCATGGTCGCGGAAATTCTAGCGCTACCTTTTGGATATTAATGGGCGGTCGGATACAAGAAACGCCCAATTTTCATGAAAGTCGAGTGGAAGTCGGATAGTCAGCGGAACAGTAAGAGTAAATGAATTTGCTGCTTAAGTGTGTAGAAGGTATGAAGGTGTGTATTATTGATGTGTAGCGTGGAGATTGGTAGAGCAAAAGGGAACATTATAACCAACGAGGCGGGAGAGCTGAATAAATGCCTGCAGGTAGGGCGCGCTAGTTACGCCAGTTACGCCAGTGACGCCCAGTCTGAGTTACGCCAATTACGCTAATTACGCTAGGGTACGCTTATATTGTACAATACATCAAGCAAACATATATCATAACCTTGTGTAAAGCTTATCTCAGCAGTGCATCAACAATTAATTAATTTTACATTGGTAGGTACGTAATGAAGTTAAAGCTTAAAAAGACTTTTGATTCTACGGTTTAGCAAGTGCATAACTTTAAGAAGAGAAAGTTTCAATAAAAGTTTCAATAAACGAAAATTTGTGACTAATTTACATAGCTTATGTATATGCTCATATGCTCAGGTATCTACTACCTAAACTTAGCTGGCTTAGGTTGGCTTTTAAGCACATGTGCTAGCGTGCTGGCGTGTTAGCGCATTAGCGTATCAGGTGGATCAATTGAAGTATGGCGTTGCCCCAGGGCCCCAGATCTGCGGGCTGGCAAAGCTGCAAAGCTGCAAAGTAAACATACAACCTTTCTTCGTACTCACCACTATCTAAAATCCACGTCGACTTCAATTCTACACTTATACAAGCCAGCACTTATAAATATAAAATCTCTGGCGTCAGCGATTAAACCCTTTCACATCGAGCAAAATGCTCGGGTGGGCACTCAAAAGAGGGTTCCAAGGCGCCACCGGGGCAAAGGACGCGTCCGGTGGTAATGGTAAGACGCCTTGTAATTACTATATTGTTGACACCTGCTAACTTCTTATAGAAGATACAACACAATTCGAGGCTCCAGATACGCCCGCCCCTGTCTTTGCTGCTCGAGCATTCCGGAATGCCCTATTTGGAACATCTCGCTCCGAAACAACTAACAGCAAAAATACGAAAAACAAAAATGCCAATTCAACACCCAATGACATAACTTCCCCGACCAAGCAGTCCCCAAGCAAGCAACCGGCGGGTATCCTTTTAACTCCGGGTACTGGAACTGCACGTCGGAAACGTGTCTCATTCAATCATGATGTCAAAGCTGGCAGTGGTGGTGGTGGTCCCGATGCCAGTCCCCTTGCCTCAGCGCGTCTACGAAGGAGATCAACATTACAGCAGGCATTAGAGAATTCTCGCTCGGCAAGATCCAAAAATTCCATCGAGAGGGAACAAGAAGAGCTCCCTTCGAAGCCACTTGACGATGAGTCCGAAGAAGAATGGGAAGACGATATTTGCGACCGCGATATAACAGTGGATCTTAATGAGCCACACTCAGAGTCAGGCAAATATTGGAAGGCGGAGTTTAACAGATACCGCGACGAGGCAATGGCTGATATCGAGCGTATGGTGAAGTTTAAAGCCCTAGCCAAGTCCTACGCCAAGCAGAAGGATGCCGAGGCACTCGAGCTGGCTCAAAAGCTAAAGGATGAGCAACTAAAGGTAGCTGAGATGGAGGAGAAGATTGCTGCTATGTCTTCCCAGACCACAGATAAGAGGAGACGTGGCGGTGATCGTGAGGACGCCACTCTAGTGAAGGATTTAGAGAAGCAGACTGCCCTTGCTACACACTATCGTGATCAAGTGGAAGAACTCGAAGCTCTCATCCAGGAGCACAAAGGCGAATCCAGTTCTAGCCAGTCCGACCGCCGGCGTATCGACACATCACCTAGGACTGAAAAGACACTTCTTGAGGTCAACCGGGAACTAAGACGAGCGCGAGCCGAGTTAAAGCAGATAGACAAGCTTCGAAAAGAAGTCAGCAAGCTCAAGTCAGATCTAAGCGCAGCAGAGGAACGAGCGACGAAACTACAAGATGAACGTACCGGTAGAGGATCTACCGATTCTTTGCAAGTAAAGAAGTTAGAGCATAAGCTACAGGTAGCTAAAGAAGAGTCACAACAAAAGGATCGTGAGATTCGGCAGCTACGGAATGACTACGAATCCCTAAAGAACAACGCCAAATCTCGGACTGCCGAAGCTATGCAGGTGTTGCAAGCGAAAAACGACAAGATTGCCGAGCTAGAGAATACTATCAAGACAATCGAGGTAGCGAATCCCTCGATTAGGGCGACCCGAGCTCTGAAATTGGGTATCGAGTCACTCAATAAACCCTCCAAATATGAGAGTGACATCCCTGTACGCAACCTCAAACGTTCAGCCTCGGTTGAGGATGTCACTCTTGATATGACTCAAAGATCTCTACTTGGACACAAGGATGAGTTTGATGATACGCCCAAGCCGATCAAACGCAACACTTTCCTCCCGTCTGACTGGTCGAGCGGTTTTAAGGACATTAAGAACCAACCGAGGAAGGATAAGAAGGATACGATAGAAATCAACAAGCGTGAGAAGGACCCAGTTATGAATGACTTGGATATTACCCCGCCTCGTTCCATTACGAAACCCAAAGCTTCACTATCGACATTCGACTCCGGTAGGGCCATGTCCAACATTCTCTCAAACAGAATGAACCAGTCGACAACGAGGGATACGACGACTTCGAGAGAGCGACTCGATCAAAAGCTTGCTGAGGCACGTGCTAGTCGTGCAGCCCGCGCGGACCGTGCGGATCGTGCGGATCGTGTAGATCGTGTGGATCGCGATGTTGAGACGCACGGCTCTTTGGAGAGGCTAACACCACGCCGTTCAAGACCCAAGTCCTATAACGGTCGTTCCTTTTCATCGGGCAGCGAAGGACTTGGTTATGATCTCGTCCAGGACAAGTTCGCCCGTCTCGGAGGTCCCGAGACCGAGCATACTACAGGGAATACTTCTAGATGTACCCTACCCGCCGACCGACAAGCTGCGGCTCGAGCTCGCTTGGAGCAAAAGAAGCTCGAAAGACAGCGGAACGGTGGTGGTCGCGACAAGGAGAACATCAAACCATGAGGGTAAATCTCATATGATATGACACTGGACGAAGACTGGAATGACGGGTAGAAGCATATGGCACGGTTGGGGACAAAACTTGGGGGTATGATATGGCATTGCATTGCAGGAGTTGGGTATTTTTGGTATTTCTTTTGGCGTTCTACCTCTACCTTGTATTGGTATAGGTACGGGATTGTTCAAGTTTAGGTCAAGGAGTTAAGTTAGGGTGGAGATACCAGCCGAGAGATAAGGCTTTTGTAAGATTAAAAGATTGCCATGAACTTCAATGCTAATGGGGGAATGGATTAAGATATTCTTTTTCCTCGTTACTCCCTTACTACTTCCTAATACTGTCCTAAGTGATGAGTAAATCTCTCTTCTAATAATGCCATTATGGATTCGACCTTGAGCAATGAGTCACAGGAGGTCCTCGAAAATGAAATCGCAGACTTAGAACTTCGCCTTCAAAGAGCTAAACATCGACTAGCGAAATCAAATACCGCGAATATCGACAAACCATCTCTTTCCTACCCGTCATCACAATCCCCGCACCACTACCTCCTCCTACTCTCAGACTCAGCCCTCCCGCTAGGCTCCTTCGCCTTCAGCTCCGGACTAGAATCATACCTAGCGCACACGCGGCGCGGACCCCGCCCCGGCGGCCCCTCCTCATTCTCCACCTCCACCTCCGCGTCCACCTCCACCTCTCCCTTCTCGTCTTTCCTCCCGCTATCCGTATCCTCCTACGCCAGCACCACTCTCCCCTTCGCACTCGCCGCCCACCGCGACCCGACGCCAGATACAATCATCGGCTTAGACGACGCCCTAGACGCGGCCATCGTGTGCGCCGTCGGCCGCCGCGCTTCCGTCCAGCAGGGCCGCGCGCTAATGGCCATTTGGGAGAAGAGCATTGCGGCGGCGGCGGATCCGGATCCGCGCGGGACGCTGGCGCCGTACGCGGAGGCGCTGCGTGCCGGTAGCGGTAACGGTAGCAGTCACGATAAGGAACTACCGCCTCCTCCCGCGTCGGCGCACCTGGCGCCGCTGTTCGGCGCCGTGGCTAGCTTGTGCGGGCTCAGCCTGCGGCAGACGGCGTACGTGTTCATGCTAAGCCACGTCAAGGCGCTCGTCTCGGCGGCCGTGCGAGCGGGGCTGTTCGGGCCGTACCAGGCGCAGCGGATTCTGGCGGGGGGCGAGGTGCAGTGTCTGCTGGCGGAGGTGATTGCGCGGGAGTGGGATACGGGGGTTGAGGAGGCGGGGCAGAGGGTGCCGGTGATGGATTTTTGGATCGGGCGGCATGAGTTGTTGTATTCTAGGATATTCAATAGCTGAATGAATGAGTGGGTGGGTGTTTAAGCAACGGGAATACCTAAAGGATGTGGCTACGGTTTTGAGGATGCGGGTGCGGGTGCGGGATTACGACAATTTGAGGGCGCTTTGGGCGCTGGTATCTATGATTACTAGGTATGGAATGGTAGTGTATGGTATTATATACAATTTGGCATGTGTCTGCTTGCTTGCTTCTACGAGGCAATGTGATCTATCCGTACGAATCCTTATTCGTCGTCTTCGCTATCGCTTCCGTACGCTACTAACGGCCCTGACGATGTTGCCGCCTTGGGTTTTGGAGCTGTAGAGACTTTCGCCGTCTTCAGTGCTGCCAATGTGCTGTTTGAGAATATTCCCCCTTCCTGCTCTGCGGGCTGTTGTCGATCCCCAATTATTGCCTCAATGCCACCACCGGCCTCGCCATTTTCTAACATCAATCGTTGCTCTTGCTCAAGTTCGTAGCCTTGTCTACCCGCTGGATTGACCGCCTGCGCGCCACGGGCAAAGTACACGTCATCAGGTGCCTCGTATCCTTCTAGGCCAAAGCTACTCTCGATCTTTCGCCGTTTCCTAGCCTCGGGGTCTCGACCTTCGATCTCGGCCACGAACTCTTCCGGCAGCGCCCTTCGAATAGCTTCGGCGGCCTGTTCTTCGATGCGTCTCGCCTCTCTTGCCTGCGCCATGGGATTTGGGTCCGCTGTGGCCCACCGCACGTTTAAAATCTCCTCGTGGTCTAGAGACTGATGTGCCATCGCCTCCTTCGCAAATTGAGCGTTGGCCTCGTTGGTATATGTAATAAAAGCCACGCCGCGGGTGTTCAGCACGCGTATACGCTCGACCTGACCCCATTCGGCGAAATGGCGAGCAACAATTTCCTCGATATCGTCAGTAACGTGTATCCTTCCGACGTAGATGGTGCGGTTTTGACGCATAAAGCTACCCACGCCACCCATGTCATCGCGGTAATCGGAATGCTTGTCGCGGCCGAAACAGTCGACGTTGGGATTGAATAGGTCGTGGATGCCCGGAAGTCGGTGTAGATACTCGCAATCTTGGCCTTTGGGACAGATGCCACGCGCGAAGAAAAGACAGAAGTAAGAGCCTGGCACCTTATCGGCGCGTGTATAGCCGCTGTCCTTGGCGATGTTGCAGCGGCCTTTAGCGTGGGTCTTGGAGAGGTATTTATCCTCGCGGTCACCACCCGACCACTTGTTGTACCATATGTTGAAGATAGTACCGGTTTGGGGGGGAGGTTCGGAGGTTATGAAGGAAGAGTCGACTTGCGGTCGCGCAGGACGTTTCTTGCGAATAATCTTTTTGACTTTTTTGGGTGCCGCTACGGCTACCTCCGTAGATGGCGTCTGATCGGGTTCCCTTTCTTCTGACATGATGGACAGTGTTGGTTGATGGAGGTTTGGAGGTCAGGCTGAAAATGATTCGAGTTATGATGCGAGGCTGTATGTACTTGGTAGATTAACTGGAAATGTTTTCTTGAAAGGTTTAGGTAGTATTCGTTAGTCGCATTTCGGATAATGGGCCAAAATCAATTATTCGTTAAAAGAGATTACCTAACCTTAGCTGCTATGTACCTAACTAAGGCTTAGCTTAGCTTGATTTTCCCCGATTTCCCCAGATTACTCCAATAATGTAAGTCTTATCGATTACTCGGCTGTTCCTCTTGGCTCATGTCAGGTCTTGCAGCTAACCCTCAGATAGAAGCCGCTCTGTTGTCCCTGGCTTGATCCTACCTAATGTATCCAATGGATGCTCGTAACAGCTGCGCGGACCCCGCTAGACGAGGCGCGTACCTCGGTTTATCAACGTGAAGCTAGTCTTTATCATGCCATCACCTCGGAAGAGGGAGCTTTTCTCCAACTTCAATTCAGATATTTAAATTCATAAGCTCAACTGTTTTTCGGCCCACTTAGATATTTAAAGATATCAAATTATTAGAACACCCAATCATTAATTGTATAACATATAACCCGATTATTCTACAATCTACCTCCACAACATGTCTGCCAGAATTCCGGATATTGTAAGAGAAGCTAACCACGTATACTCAATACAATGCTCGAGCTTACAAAAGCTCATAGGTAAAACATCGCGTTAGCGAAAAGGCGAAGAATACATTAGATATTGTCGCCAAGTTTGTTGAGGAAGAGTGCATACCGTGAGTCGTAAAACTCGCCCGTGTTTGAAGCATCGCTGATAATTAACCCAATTAGAGCGGACCCAGTCGTAGATGCTCAGATCGGCGAGGGTTCTGCACGATGGGAAAGCCACCCTCCTATTATCGAAGAGCTAAAGGCGAAAGCGAAGAAGTTGGGGCTGTGGAACATGTTTTTACCCAAGGGCCACTATAAAGAATCACCAGGCTACACGAATCTGGAATATGGCCTGATGGCCGAGTGGCTGGGAAGGTCGAAGATAGCCTCCGAGGCTACTAACTGCTCAGCGCCAGACACGGGAAATATGGAGGTCTTGGCTAAGTACGGCAACGATGCTCAGAAGGCCCAGTGGTTAAAGCCATTGATGGAGGGCGAGATCAGGTCAGCTTTTCTTATGACCGAGCCAGATGTCGCTTCATCGGATGCGACAAATATCCAGCTTAGCATAAAGAAAGAAGGGAATGAATATGTCCTGAATGGTTCTGTACGGCTATTCTCTGTTTCTGTGATATACGTCATACTAACGAATTCCTAGAAATGGTGGTCAAGTGGCGCTGGTGATCCCCGGTGTAAGATCTACATCGTGATGGGCAAGTCGGACCCCAACAACAAGGACCCCTACAAGCAACAGTCGGTCATACTCGTCCCGGCTAACACAAAGGGTATAACTATTCACCGCATGCTTAATGTCTACGGATATGATGATGCCCCTCACGGACATGGACATATCTCTTTCCACAATGTGCGGGTCCCGGTGAGCAACCTAGTCCTCGGTGAGGGTCGAGGCTTCGAGATCATCCAGGGTCGTTTAGGACCAGGCCGTATTCACCACGCAATGCGCAGTATCGGCGCCGCCGAGCACGCGCTTGAGTGGATGTTAATGAGAATCAACGACCCTAAGAAGACCCCGTTCGGAAAGCAGTTGAGGGAGCATGGAGTTATCCTGGAATGGGTTGCCAAGTCGCGAATAGAAATTGATGCGGCACGATTGATCGTCCTTAACGCCGCCGTGAAGATGGACGACCTAGGCCCGAAGGCGACGTTGAAGGAGATCGCCCAAGCAAAGGTGCTCGTCCCGCAGACCGCATTGACAGTTATCGACCGCGCCGTCCAGGCATTCGGCGGAGCGGGCGTCAGCCAGGACACGCCTCTTGCGAATAGCTGGGCGCTTATCCGAACCTTGCGGCTGGCTGATGGGCCAGATGAGGTTCACCTGCAACAGATGGGCCGGAATGAGAATAAGAGGGGCAAGGAAGTCTCGCAGAAACTACTCTGGCAGAAGGAGAAGACAGAACAGCTGTTGAAGCAGAACAATCTAAAGCGGTTTCAACCCGGATCTAACATCAAACCGAGGTTATAAGATAATCGCAGGCGCGACTTAATTAGAATGCTACTGGTCGTATTTAGGCATCTAGAATTGCATTATCGGTTGAGATGTCAAAACGCTGGGTAACGTAAATGTTAAGCCTACCGCCAAAGAAAACTTATATGTATATTATAACTACCTACCTGAGTTAGTCGTTTTATAAGAAGCTTACTATACCGCATACCTCGTATATATTTAGTTTTTCATTAATACTGCTATGACCTTTTGCTGTGCTATAAACTTGTGAATCAAAACAGACAATGTTCCGTAAAAAGAAAATGAATGATACTACGTGAGAGTGGCAGAGTGGTTAGTTAGTATAGATAGATCGGACAACTGTTCCGTCCGACCATTTGATTAAGAATTAATACAATGAGCCAATAATAGGTTCCCGGTTCTCCTTAATTGACTGTTCCAATACGGAAGTCGCCTTCAAAAGTTTTGTCTATACCAAGCAAGCGCCTGCCAGCTTTGGTCACACCTGTCAGGAGGCCTGACCCACCTGGGACCTTAAAATGATCAAGTATATTAAACCATATGCTTTTTTCTAAAAGCGATAAAACGACCGAATATACGAAGATTATGATGCTTTTGAAAATAAAGTAAATCTGAAAGCTCAAATCTATTACGACATAAATTTCAATGTGATAGCTTTAATATTAAAGGTATAACAAGTAGGTTAAAACGTAATATATTTGGAGGTACATTTCCTATTATGGCTGACAGTTGTTGCTAAGCTCCGCCCAGTTGACAGGGGCTGACCTATGGACAAAACTTTTGAAGGCGACTTCCGTAGTAAATTGAGAGGTGTGCTACAGTTAGCTCGAGCTTACGCAGTTTGGTACTTGCTTTTGCGCTTATGGCTTGACGTTGTGGTGGGATTACATAATATTAGCTATACTGAGAATTACTGGGCCTTGCCCATTAATACTGATCAGACTTTACTCAATCAACATTATTTACACCCCTCAACGTCTTTTATCAAACGATTTCTTCACCGAAATCTGATTAGTCAAATGGTTTTTTATTTATTTAAACTTAAAATGTTACTTGTGTGTATGCTATAAGGCAAGACTTCTTCTTATAAACCCTGACCCAGTGGTTCAAGGGTCTTCTAATGAACGTGAAGATGGGGGATAACCCGTACCGTACAACGCTCTGTCCATGCGTAGGCCCTTGTCAGGGGAGATTAGACGCGTTTATCGTAGCTAGGGGACCCCGAAGACACTGGCATTAAAGCGGTCTGACAGCTCTACAACACTTATCCCCCGGAACGTTTCAACACTCATCGTCCAATAATTCCCATTTGCCCAATGACCTCAAAACTAACTTGCTGAGCAAGCTATCTATCTGGACTCGACTTACAATAATCACTAACAGTCGCAGTGGTGAGATCGGAAGCCCTCAATCGATGGCGACTGGAAACCAGCCTCGGCGAATGACAATCCGAAAGCAAATTGAGCAGA